TTTCAGGGAGGACTCACGTTTTTGCGTGAGCTGGCCTTAAACCAAGATCCTCCCACTCTCTTCCTTTTGAGCAGCTGAAATTATGGGCCATGAGTCCTCATGCCAGAATTTAAGAGTATTTCTGAAAGTCTCTATAAAATACATTTCAATTTGTTTTTGTTCTGTATCACAAGATTTTAAAATTTTTAGGTAATTATTTCTCAAACTTGGAATTTCTCTTAACTCTCATGTGTGTCATGTTGGGGGAAAAGTTTTTTTGGGCATATGAAATGCCAACAGGAAATTATTTTCTCTTTTCATTGGTGTAACATTGTCTCTGAAATGTATGTATTAGAACTTTTGCCAAATCTTACTTTTCCTTGGTAGTTTGGCTGTCAATCATGTAAAAATAGTTGACTTTGGAGACTTTACTCTTGCCCTTGTCTGAGAAAATTTTCATTATGCCTTCATTGTGAGTCAAAGCAGTCTTGTCAGACTTCACATGACATCATTTTTCCTCCCTAAAGCCAGTCTCAATAAAAGCTGAAACTTTAAGTAGGGTATGGAAAAGCGCAAAGAGCAAGTACTCTTGGCTATTGTTGAATCTTTCAATTCTCTCTTCTAATCCCGTCAATCTCAAGAGAACTGTTCTACCTTGGCCAGATATTTCCTAAGAAATACTCATTTTTTAGAGTGGTACAGTATCTAGTATTTCTGTTTTAAGGCAAATTTGTAACTATGTAGCACACCTAACCTCATTTTTGTTGGACACGGTTTATACCCCGATCCATGGTATATTTCCATTTAATTTTTGTGCCCCAAATTATATATTGAAGATTTCTTTATTTTGGGTACTTTGGCATTGAACATTTAATAATAATAATAATTTACTGTACATTTCAAAAAGCTAAAAATGGATTTTTAAGTTTTCATCAGGAAATAATAAGTATTTGAGAAGATATACTTAGCCTTATTTAAAACACTATACAAATTATCAAAATGTTAAGTTACCCAGTTAATATGTACAATTTTGTTTTTATTTGTCAGTTAAAATAAAAATAAATATAATTTGTTAATAAGGAAAAAAAGGAGAGAAACACATGTTTGCTATTATGACCAATATTTTCAGAATTAGAATGACAAATCAGATGACCAAAACCATAATTATGAAATCCTGTGTGTTGGCCTATTACTGATGGAAGCACCATAAGGACATGGAAGATGAGACCCCTAACTAGGTCACTGAGGAAGAGGGGGCTTCTGGGAAGGATCTCTGTAGGTAATTTTTGAGGAGCTCTTATCTTCTTTTCTATTACAGTGTGCTCTCAAGTAGTAACCAGCTATCAGACGTTTTAGTGTGAACTCTAGAAAATGCACTGATTTTCTCCAGAGTATTTAGTTTACAAATGTTTTCCTCAGTGGATGAAAAGGTTTTGCCTTTGGCAAAGTTGGTGGTCTATGCATTTGCTTTGGACAATGTACTGTGAGCATCTCTCCAGAAAATATGTGGTGTCAGTGTTCATATGCCCATACATAGTTTTTGCATACAGTTTTTTAAGGAATCACAGTCTTGAAGCCTTCTGATCCCTGGAAGGAGAGGGCTATATATCATTGGGCAATCAGGAAGTGCATGAAAGAGGAATCTTTAATAGTGAGAGTGTAGGTGGTCACACCCTTTGATTGCTTATTCTAATCATACATTATTTTATAAAATAATATATAAATTATATATAAATTTACTCTTCATACCACAACAAAAGCACTCTGTGTCTCTTGGTCTTTCATTTTTCTTTTTGTGAAATTTTTGTAGTACATTGGAGGCAAATCAATTAACTTTAAGAGAAAAATAAAACCTGTGGTTTTTCCATGTAGTTTAAAAATTGTTATTCAGGACATTTAATTTTGGCCTCTTAGTTAGAGCCAAGTCCCCTTTTGGCCATAGGAATTCAAGCAGAAATCCAAACAGATAGCAAATATTCTAATATACTTGAGTGCTTCTCTAGTCTATAGTCCTATATAAGCAGTTTCTCATATTGCTTTTAGTTTTGATGTCAGTATCTCAAATGACTGTACTAATAGGCCAGCCAAATTATAATCCATATTTTAAAAACTTATTTCCCTGTAGTTTTTGTTTTTTAGTACAAAATAAATAGGAAATACCAGATAGAAATTAAAAAATTAAGTTCTAATTTCATATATTTCATTGCACCTAAATATCAAACATATTAGATAATAATAATGCAAGTTCTAAGAACATATTAATATCAATGGTCACGCTTCAGCTTGGTAGACCAATGCATAAGTAAATCATTTTGGCATACAGAAGTAGGACGCTTAGATTTAGGTTGAGATGAGTTGAGAAAGTCTTCAAATGTGTGTAATATGAAGAAATTGTGCATTTAAATGTATGTGTTAGGTCAAAAGTTCTAAAATGTTTGTTTTTTTCTGTTGAAACTACCAAGATTTAAAGATGTGTATGGTGGAAAATGCATCAAATTTGCACATAAATGAATTGACTTTCTCATTCACTATTGCTTACTTTCAAAGAAGTATTTGGTTTTTTTCTTGAAGCAATTTGTGGAGTATTCAGAGCTGCCAAACTATTCTGAAGTTATTAGTTTAGAAAAAAAATAATGATAAATAAAGTAGGTTTATGTCCCCCAGAACTGTTTTGTCTCCCGTTAACTATCATCTGGCCTTGTGCCCTTTTTTCTCTCCAGAAGTAATGTTTTTGCTTCTGTAAAGTGACTTCTCCTTGGACTGCTGATCTGTGCTTGATATAATCCATCAGGGCACGAATACTACTTTATGTGAAAAGCCATTTCGAGAAAATAGAAATCTAAAACACATTTGTGTTTTATTTTAGTGGTACTCCATTTATTATGTAAAATGTCAGGCTGACAAACCTACACTGTGATTGGTAAAGTGCAGCAATTTTCAAGTCAAACAGCCAAGTCTGAGAAGAATGAAAGTTGGTTCTTGTAGAAAAATTAATACTAATATATTTGCAGTAATCAAGAACTTGTTAAAAATGTAAGAACCCAAGGCTCCTGTCCAGACCCGCTAAATCAGAGTTTTAACTTCAACCAGATTCGCTGATTTTTATGCAAAATCATCCTAGAGAGGCACTGTTTTAGTGCTCTGGTTGCCCCAACACTTAAACATTAAGACAGAAAAGGGGCAGGCTGAGTCTTTCCCAGGCAGTGCCACAACTGTTTGCATAGGAATACACATGATGGCAGATTTTAAAAGGTGGGAAACTTACATATACCTTAAAGCCTTGAAAAATACAAAACTTATCTCAGTGAAAACCAATAAGCCCTGTATTATAATCTGCAAAGCAGACAGTGCATCTCTCTGTCGGGGTATTTAGCGTTAGGGGCATTGGGCGTCAGTGTTTTCTGCTGAAATCCTACGAAGTAGAATCTGGATTTGATTTTAGGCATTGAGGCTCTTAGCTAGTGTTATAAACAGTTCTGAAGACTCTTCATGACTTTTGTTCCTCTGATAGTAAAAGGTAGTCAACATCTTTTTACTTCTATTACAGTCTCCATTCCATGAACCATAGTGCAAAGTACTGGTGGGTGACAGGGCAGAAGAAAGCAGTTGAGGAGCGAATTCAAATTTTAAGAAAGACTTTTCCATATGTTGAAGTGATAGCCTACCTTGAACTAAATTCTGTTTTCTCCCTGCCTAGATCTACACATAACTCTAATCCCTTCTTATGTTAGTTTTGTGTGAGAGGATTTAACTGGTTAATAAATTAACTAATTATTTAATTTACTTGATACATCTTGGAACAGTCTAAAATGTTCATAGCTTTTAGAATTGTAGTTTAAAATTCATAAGTTGACTAATTTTGTTAATCAGTCCTTTATAGTGCTAAAATTCAGAAATGCTAAGATTTTAATCTAATAAAATAGTCATTTGAAAGGACAGATTTTTGTCACTTCATGTATTTTAAAGTTTTTATTCTTTTCTGTTTAGTTTTCAGAAGAAAATCTGAAGTTAAATAAAAAAGTAGAAAATTTGTAAACATGTATTAGAAAAACAAATATCCTAGAATTTCTAGGCATTTGTCAACTTTTTACTGTGCTATGATTAATCTATTTTAAGGTTGCTGCATTTCCCTACTTTACTGCGTTATGACATCTGGTTTCCTTTGGATTCAAATAAGAGGCCATTTCATTGTTATGTTCATGTTTATTTCAGACCTTAAAAGATAAGTTTGCATAGCACCTATGAATGAACATTCCATTATTTCACAGTGGTTTATAGAGCTTCACTTTATTAAGTAGAATAAAAAGCACCAAATAGGGTCAGATTGTTTTCCAGGTGGTAGGGCAATGATTTTGAGACTCCTGAAATAACCTAATCCTTCTTATTTATCGCCCAAAATCAAAGACCTGGCACATAGTTGTTGCCTAAATAAATGCTGGCTTAAATATTATTTTTGATCTTATTTATTCATTTATAGAGACTTACAGGTAATGTCATCTTTAGTGAAATGCATTCTGAATAAATAAAATGGAATGAATGAGGCGCTATAATAGCAAAGCATTCTGTTGCCTTGACTGTAGCTTGCTTCATAGAATTATCATAGCAAGTGGTTCAGTTATTACTGCTCCTTCTACTTGTCGAAGACCGGCGGCTGGCCGTAAGCATCCGCAGAATATGTGGGCATTTTGTCATATATCGTATTAGCTTATAATTGTCAATTTCTCTTTCTTCAGCTGCCCCCACCCTGTAAATCAGTGCCCATCTCATTCAAGAAACTGAGTTTTCCTCTTTCCTGCAAACACCAAAGTAAAATAAAAAAAAATGAAAAACAAAGTGAAAAACAAAGCAACAACAACAAAAAAATCAGGGGTCATACACTTCTCCTGGTGGGTTATGTTCATACTGCAGCAAGTCCCAATACATTCAGCTAAGATTACTTTTAACAATGTTTTTAATTAGTTGTGTCTGCACTGATTTCACCCTGAAATATTTTACATTTTAATTCAACTTTTCTTTTGTAGCTGTATTTTGGGGTGATATTGCCTTAGATGAAGAAGACTTAAATATCTTTCAAATAGATAGGACAATTGACCTGACACAGAATCCCTTTGGAAAACTTGGACATAGCACAGGTATGAGTGAATTTGTTTCATTTTGGTGAAAAATGTACTCTTGAAATGCTACAAATACTCTTCTGATCATTTTTAATGACCCAGTGATCAACTTTGATTTCCTGCACAAAATTTTGCATATAGAAATTTAAGTTTTATCCAAAATTTTCATTTTATTGTTTAAGATACTCATTATACTATTTAACTATGTACCAAGCCTGGCTTAATTACTTTGCAGATATTAATTCTGTGTCTTCTTAACAACCCTATGGCGGTTGTTACTAATAGGATTATGGTTTGAAAGTGAGTTGATCAAGGTTAGAAGGTAATATGGCTTTCTTATTGTCACACAGTTGAGAATGGCTGAGTCAGAACCAGAATTCATTTCTGAGAAAGGCCACATTTCATGCTCAAACATAATTGGATTTTCCCATTTATGTATTTGGTTGCAAAATATAAGTTATTCTTAGACTAATTACATGGAAACTTGTTTAGAAATATTCATATATCTATCTATATAACTTTTATGAAAACCCCAGAAGGCAATTTGAATTTTGGTTGTTTTGAACATGTTTGAATTATGCTTGCTTATTTGAGAATTGAAGTATTTTAAAAATTCTTCAGTTCTTATTTTAAAATATCTTTAATTAAAGTTTTAAAGTTCTGTTTTTTGGTAAGATATTTATTCTGTGTTCTACTTTGTAGAAAAATTTTATTTTTGTAGTTATAGCAAAAAAATTTTATTTTATGTCAATGTATTGATTCCTCCTTTTACTATTTTTATTTTCTTATATTTCATGAAAATTAGATATGTAGTTCCTATGTGGTTTATAATCAGTAAGTATATAAAGGACTGAAGACATTTTTTCTGTGAAGCAATACCTCTTTCCCCAATTTATGATTGTTGCAACTTTTTTGTTGTGACAAATTTGAACCATATGGAAAAGTTGGTAAGATAGTGCAAAGAATATCAGTACACTGCAATTCTTAGATTCAACATTGCTTAACTGTTTATCACATTTGCTTTGTGAATATGCACACACATGCATAAGTGTGTATAGAACATTTTAAAATTAATTGAAAAAAATGTGTAAAATATATACTATTAAAGCACTTTGCTTTTGTATTGTTTTGGCAGTGCTGGAGATTGAACTCAAGGCTCCATACATACTAGGCAAGCACTTTACTGCTGACTACATCCCCAACCCTTCTTCAAAACCTTTGGTATTAGGCAGTTTAGCATGCATTCTCTAAGAATAGGGACATTGAACTATGTAGTCAAAATACCATTCCTCACATCTAAGAAAAATATTTGAGACAAGAATACATAAGATAAAACCTAAAGAATTTATTTAAAATAATAACAAGTACTATTTTAAAGGAGTATGGCCTTTTTATATTATGCGGACAGTCTGTTCTGAAATATGAACCAATGTATGGGAAAAATTTTACTTTGATGGACAGGTTTATTGGCAGGCTCTCCAGTTGCTATATCCCACTTAACACTGCCATGGAGGCATTTATTTTGGACAATAAAGCAATGATACCACTCAGCAAAATCTAGATTTATTTTAAGTTGCATCTTCAGCTTCTACTAAAATTTTGTTTAAGCTTATATAAGGCATTTCTTTAATTTTACTTCCTCCATTATTTTAGAACTACTAACTTTCTCTGAAATACTGCTATTTAATTTTATTGTTTCATTTAAAGTTAAGCTCTAAGATAGAATAATTGAAAGAAGAAGTAGCATTATTTCAAACATATAGGATAAATCAAATTGTACTCTTAATAATATAAACATTTATTCTAAATGTATATATGACATATATGCACATCTAAAGATTCTATAATAACTTGCATTTTTCAGGTAAATTTCCAATAATTTAAAAGTACCTTTTATTTTATTTTTCATACTCTGTCTTTTCTTTTCTTGTTAATTTGTTTGTACTGAGTTAACTCCACTTCTCATCTCCTAATTTCAAAATACGTAGTTTTCCTATAAATATTTTTTTAACTTGTATGTTTTCTTGTGTTTTAGAGCATGTGAGAAATACTTGTCTTTTTGTCTATTTCAGTAAATTGTACAGGCAGAATTTTATTTCAACTGCTATTAAAATTATCCAAAATTGCTAAAAATATTATTCAAAATTTATTGTTTTTAAAAGTCTTGAAACATTGATTTTTCAATTCTATAATTAATCTTAACTCCATTAAGATTACTTATTAATCTTAATTACAAATATTACTGATATGTATTTTTTCCTCATAATTAGCCTCTTTATAAATTTATTTATGTATGCTTCAGGCCTATCTAATGTAAATATAGTTACTACATTATGTTCACTTCAAACATGTAGATGTCATATTTAAAAAATGTTTTTAGTAACTGCTTAGGAATGAATACATTTAAGTATGACCTCATCTTTCTAAAATGTTTGATGGAAAAATTTCAAAGATTTTTCTCAAGATGCACAGGAAAAATGTGACCATGTAGTGCAAATAATTAGGCAGGTTATTAGTCAGTGAGCAAGAACTCTAACTTAGTTTCCTTATAAGGATATTTGCTTTTTTTTTTTTTTTTTGCCTTTAAGAGGCTTATGTAGCAGTGGATTTTATTATTTTTTATTTTTAGCTTCAACCTAGGTGATTAGGTTTTAGTATTAATTACAAAGGAAAGTTGATATTGGAAAACAATAGTTCAAAGTTTGAGAATAGTTCACTGTCCTTGTGTATTTTGGACTGTCTTTCATTTTCTTAGCCTAAAGAGGCTTTCAGAGCCATAGATACTCTGAGAGGTACAAATTCATCTGCCTTTGTTCTGATGTCATTATTAGTTATATTGGTTGCTTACGAAGTTAGCTAAGCCTCTTTCCTTATTTGTCTATTAAAAATTCAAGGAAAATGGAGAAGATAGGGAACAAAACTTTGAACAGCATTTTATGAAAATCCTGAAATGAGAATCCAGGGACTTTGATTTTTGCCAAATGCTCTGGTTCTGGACTTATGACAGGAATATACCATTTTAGACTTTGTAAAATTGAAAAAAACGACATGTGTCATTATTCTTCTCTTCTTCCTTTTGATTATAACATTTTTTAGGTCTGTTTTATAAATGTTCAAAATTAGCTACTGTAGTGGAATACATTTTGCAGTTGAACATCCATTTAGATTCTTACTTTGTAGCTTTTCTGATATGTTATTAGTTTTTATAATTTAGAGACACCAATTTTCAAAATTTAATTGAAAATATAACACTTGATATGAATTTTTGAGTTTTCAAAATTTTATCAGAGCTTTTTAGCAAAGCTTGTACTGCAGATTTGCTGTACTTGTGGTTTCATTTCCATTTGCTGGTATGGCATCTGAAAGTACTCAGTTTGGATAGGGGAAATAGCTGGAATGCAATCAATAGGGCAGAACAACTTGCTGTCATTCTGCATAACAGTATGTGATGTCAAGGTCTCAGTGAAGAAAAATGTTTTGAATTATCCATAGATGACTCAATTGTCACAATGTCCAAATAAAGTCATTGAGATGGCTTTCTAATCTCTCCCACCACCTTATTTTTAGATACCAACATTTGTTGCTCTAGAACTTTTACCCTCTACAAAGCCTCATAGATATTATAACTTTTACACTTTAAGATGACATAAAAGATGTCTAAAGAAAAAGTAGTGTAGCTTATTGTTACTGTTTATTTGCAAGTTCAACCTGTTTTCTTTTATTATTTAAGGTGGACTTGGAGACCATGGTATGTCAAAGAAACGAGGGGCCCTCTATCAACTTTTGGACAGGATAAGAAGAATTGGCTCTGGTATAGCAATGTTTAAAGTTGCAGACCTTTGACTTGCTGTACAGTAAATATTATACTCATAGAAATTCAGTTTATTAAAATGAGTGTGCCATTATGATGTGAAGTGTGTAAAGGATTTAGGCTGAGAAAGTTAATTCATTTTTATCTTGTCAGCCATATTTGATATAGTTTTATAGAATTTAATTTGGCACAATTTGAAATGTTTAACTTATTTTAAGCTTCCCTTTGCTTAAAATGTATTAAGTATTTATTTTAGTGTTGAAATTTATTTCTAGCTAATCAGGTATCAGGCCAATTTTTTTTATAAATCATGGGATTATATAAATTTTAATCAAATGACAAATATCATAATTATTTGTTTTGAAATGTTAGCCACTTAAATTAACTGTATAATTGATTTACAGTTAATATGTTTTTGGCCAACAGTTAATATGTTTTTCCAAAATGTTAGAAGGTATATATGTACATATATATATATATATATATATATATATATATATATACACACTGACTTCAAATTGGTAAATATTTATAGCATTGAATTTATTACCCACTATTTGTAGATTTTAGAATTTTTTAAAAGTTGTCTATTCATTGCTTATATCCTAATGTCTCTTGACTTGATGGATTAATAAACACTTAAAGTATATTATTTCAAGGAGTGATTTTCCTAAACAAAGTTGTTTTGCTCTGGGACATGGAAAGATAGACTGTCGGGACATAGGCTTGGGCAGTGTCCATTCATTATTTGTTATGTTGTGGTGTTTACTAGTGGGAGGGCATTTGTATCAACAGTGATGTATGAATAAGGAAGAATATTCATGCAAGTTTATGAAAAGCAAAATGAGTAGCAAAAATGTTATAAAATCCCACCAAGAAAATAGAAGACTCTAGACTTGGAAGCTGCTTCAGCGTAGAGAGCATTTTATGTTGGCTGGCTCTTGTGGTACACCGACCTTGGAATCACGCTGATACCTGGCGATGAATCCAGGGAAACTGGAACAGAGAGAGTCCATTACCATAGGTGGCCAAGGCGATAGCTGTCTTTACTGTCCATGTAATGTAATATTCATAATTTTAGGCTGTACTACAGAATGTCAGTTTTGATTTAAAGGATTAAGGATTTAGCCAGAATAAAAAATGAGTCTTGAATACCATAGGGCTTTATTAAAGAATATCTTTTATTTTATGGGATTTTTTTGAGGTCAGCTTTGAACTCACTATGTGGTGGAGGCTGGGCTAAAACTTGCCATCCTGCTGCCTTGGCCTCCTGTGTCCTGGGATTACAGGAATGCACCCCTACATCCTGTTAGCAATATCTATGTTATTATCTGTGGTGAACTGGTAGTGAGCTAGTAAGATAGAAAACATAAAACATTTTTTCTCTTTGCTTACACGCCTACCCGATTTCTATTTGCTGTAGGCTGTTTTATGGAAATTCACCAAAATTCATTCATAGAGCATAAGAAATAGCATTTTGACATGAAACATTTAAATATGTTAATGTTTTTCTCAAGAATGTAATATAAGTTTTTCTTTAATGCATTTTGACTTGAGGCACATTTACACAAATATGTAAATAGGACATTTCAACTTTTGTCCTGTAAGAGGTAAATGATTTTCTGACCGAGGGCTTCTGTCTCACAGAATGTTTTAAATGTCACTGCAGGCTTGGAGCAAAACAACACCGTTAAGGGAAAAGGACCTCTAAAATTCTCAGGACAGAATGAGAAAAATCGAGTCCCCCGAGCTGCTACATCGAGAGCTGAGAGAATATGGCCTGGAGGTGTTATTCCTTATGTTATAGGCGGCAACTTTACTGGTAAGATATTCTCAGCATATCTACTTTGATGAAGAAGTAAAAACTATCATACACATCAAATGTGCATTTTATAGAATAGTACATAGAAAACAGTATCCAATTAAACTTGAAGAAGTAGTCCATCAACCTAGGTTGCTAATAGAATGTCTTTGAACTTGAAAAAAAAATATCTTCAAGCTTGTGTTCTAAAAGTCTGAAGTACTGCTCTGGCTTTTAAATTGAGTTTCCAATGTGCTCACGAAATCTGGGGGCTGAGCTCTTTTCAACTGACGGGACGAATGTATGCGTCATTTACAGAGCCTTGTACCAACACATTTGTAGAGCTAGTAAGCTTTAACCTTCCGGTTATAAAGTTAGTGTTGATTGTTAACAATGACTCACTTGTCATGCTATAACCTAGTCTTTCTTGACTGATGATAGGGATGGCATTCTGAACTGCCCTGCCAGGCTTGGGATGCAGGAATCAGCACAAAGCACTTCTCCCAGGGCAGACACTGTTTTATTAAAGTTATGTGATTTTTCCAGGCAGCCAGAGAGCCATGTTCAAACAGGCCATGAGACACTGGGAAAAGCACACTTGTGTGACTTTCATTGAAAGAAGTGATGAAGAGAGTTACATTGTATTCACCTACAGGCCCTGTGGGTAAGTAGAACCAGGGGATAAGTTATGTAAATTCTGAAGAAAAACGTTAAAAATCCATAGGTAGCATTCATTTCTTAATATTTACATATCATGTTAGATAAGTGTATTCAATGATCACAGAATTTTGTGAGTCTGCTGCAAGTGTGTTCCTCTACCAGCATGGTGACTTTCTCTTGTAACAATGGTGGTACTCATATCCCACTCACCTAGCTAGAGACTTCAGTGTCCTTGCCTATGATTGTGTTATGCTCCCTGTAAAATCTATGCAATAAGTTTCTAGTACTGACATTTACTGTGTCTTTTCTTTTTCTATTTTTAGAAATTTTTATTGTTGTACTGAGGGTACATTGTGACACTTAACAAAAGTTCTTACAATGTATCATAGTTGAATTCATCCCTCCATTGTTTGCCTCTATATCCCCTTCCCCCATTCCTGGAATAGTTTCAACATGTCTCATTTTTCCATTTACATATATGTATACGGAATATTTCCACTATATTCACCTTCCAACCCCCTTTCCTTATATCCTCTCCATTCTCACTGGTATCAGTGCCCCACACTGGGCCTGTTTTGTCTTCCTGTTCTCTGTTTTTTGTAAAAAAAAAAAATTTTTTTTTGATTGTGTAAGATATTTATACAGGGTGTTTCATTATGACATTGCCATGTATATATGTATTATAAGCTGAATTGGTTCATCTTCTCTATTTTTCTTCTTTCTACTTAGTCCCCTTCTTATGCCAGTTTTAATAGGTTTGAAAGTTCTATATACATTACCATGTCTTTTGTTTTCCATTCCATCGGACATTGGTGCCCCAGTTCATTCTCATCCTCAGTCTCTCGCACTTGGGCTGTCCCATCTGTTCTCCTGTCTTGTGTCACTAATTTGCTGCTACTGGAATTATCTTCCAAGCATCCTGGTCAGAGCAAATGCCATGTGTTCTGAGATCTTTCTGTGTTTCTACACACTACAGTGGTGTTTCTCAGATTTGCTTCTTACAGGATAACAAATACTTTCTCAAGCATAAAAAAAAATTTGCAAATTGTGAAAATCATTTTTGGGGTCTGTGCGAAGGGCCTTAGACTTGCTAGGCAGATGCTATACCACTTGAACCATGCCCCCAGCTCTTTTCGCTTTAGTTTTTGGGATAGGGTATCATATTTATGCCTGGGCCCACATGGACCACCATACTCTTGGTATCAGTCTCCCCCATAGCTAGGGTGACAGGTGCACGCCACTGTGCTCAGCCATTGGTTGAGCTGGGGGGCATCTTATGACCTTTTTAACCAGGCTGGCCTTGAACCATGATCCTCCTGATCTCTGCCTCCCAAGTATCTGGGATTTCAGGTGTGAGTCACTGCACACAATAGTGTTATATTTTAATAGGTATTTCCACAGCAGTGTATTGATGGACATTATTACCATTTAACTAGTTGAAGCTGTTTTCTATATTTAAAAAGGAAATACTTATGCTTTTGAAAATGAGGCAGGCACATCAACATCCCGGAAAATTTTGGAAAATTCTGGCATGAAATCCAAATTCCCTGACATGATATTTAAGGAATGTCATGAACTTGCAACAACTTTCATGCTCAGTGGCTTCTGCCTCCAAAATCTCTCCAGAAATCCCACGGAACCATCCAAGATATGTTCATAGCACACTCCAACCAATGTTGTATACTTAAAAAACCTTTGTGTTGTGGAAGTTCTCAAACTTCACTCTCCTGAATTTCCAATGAATTGGAATTATATAAATATCTACTTCAATTCAGCTTTTTCTTCTGAGAAGATGTGGTAGGCTGCACTGTCTTCTTCATATTGCATTACATCATACAGCATATGTGCCTGAAATTGGCACTTATGGCTGCTGTGGTGACAGCCATTTCAATCACTATCATTATAAAATAGTGATTTTCTAATTTTTATTTTCAGTACTGGGGTTTGAATTCAGGGCCTTGTACTTGGTATGTAGGAGCTCTACCACTTGAGCTACATCCAAGATCTTGTTTTACTTTAGTTATTTTTCAGGTAGAGTCTTGTGTTTCTGCCTTGAGTCTTCCATATAGCTGGGATCACAGGTGTGCAGGTCTTGTTTATTGAGATGGGGTCTCACTAACTTTTTACCCTGCCTTGCCTCCAACCATGATCATCTTAATCTTCACTTCCCAAGTAGCTGGGATTGCAGACTAATATGCTATTTGAACTCAGGGCCTTGCACCTGCTAGCCAAGTGCTCTAGTACTTCAGCCACATTTCCACTCCTTTTGCATTTAGTTCATTTTTCAGATAGGGTCTTGTGCTATCTTTTTTCCTGTGTGGTTTTCCAACTCTGAGCCTTATAACTTCTCCTGCCAAGTAGCTGGAACCACAGGCATGCATATCACACCCGGTTTGTTTTGAGATAGGGTATCACTGACTTTTGCAGGGGCTGACCTTGAAACCATAATCCTCTTGTTTCTGCCTCCTGAGTATCTTCTAATGGTTCTTTTTATTCCTTTTATATTTATTGGCTGAACTTCTTCTAAAGAGAAATTTTTTCCTTAATCTGCTATAGCTATTTGAATGTCCTACAGTGTAGTTCATATAGGGAAGTCAAAATAAATTCTTAATTCTTTGGTAGAAAATAGTTTTAACCCTAATAGCAGGTAAAGTTTTGGGGAAACATAATTTCACTCACTGTTGGAGTAGGGGCCATTATATCATCTTTATTTTGCAATATTTTCCTAGAAGACAATTTAACTTATAAAACTAATGTATTTCAGTTTTGGCTCTGAGTGAGATTAAGAACATCATTTTCTTTCTAGATATTTTTGGATAGTACCATACATTATTACTACGCAATGTTTAATAATTAAGCAAAGTTTCCTTCTAAATCGCTCCCATTTTGGCTGGATAAGTTTTGCTTACATTTGAAATGCTTCTTAGTTCTTTACATCTGTTTAATATTTTAAAAGTCCAAATCTTGACTCTCCTTCCTTTCTTCTGAATATCTAATTGGAGTAGATATAGCTCAGTTTACTGATTTCTGAATAGATAATGTACTTAGATCAATATATCTTTCCCCCTTCCCATCTTGAGATTTTGTAAAACAAACATATTCAACATCGATATCACTTATTATTTTATTGTGCAATTTTTGGTTGCAATAAATTTATGTTTATTTTATTATTTTATTTTATTTTGCTTTCATAATTTCCCATTTCACTTGTTTTATTCTGGCAAACTACTTTCCTCTTTCACTGCTATGTCATCATGGGTTTTTTGCTTGTGATATTTTTGTTGTTAGAATCTTTCCCATCTTTCATTCTCACTCATGTCTGAGCTTCCCACAGTGGAGTTTTGCTTCATCAACTATCAGAACTACATTACCACAGCTTGCTCTATCATCTGTGTTTATGCATGATTAGGACAGGTAACATACCTCTGTGTCCTTCGTGACACCTACACGAAGTTGTCACATGTAGGTGATCATACACGCATCGACAATTTAAGCATTACCTGTGCATGTTATTTATCATTCCCTCACACAATAAAATAATGTAAGAATTTATCTTTTACAAAAGAATGTAAGAATTTAAAGGGATATTTAAAAACATGTACTTCAATAATTTTTGAGATGTAAACATTGAAGTTATAGCTTGCCCAAAGATACTTAAATCTGTAGTTGCTCTCTTGAAATCAGACTTTTGAGTACCAATCCATATATTTTAACTGTTATAACAGTAATATTACATTTGAGCAATTTGTTTCAGTATGCATTTTACAGTTTGAAATATGTCTTGTATTATGTTTTCAGTAATAGAAAGGGTGATACCGTGCATAGGAATTGATCATTAGTGAGCTAACCATTCTAATCCTTTTTGACTTCTTAATTTTATTTGGAATTATCATTATTGACCACAGTTTCATAAAATAGTCATTTTATCATTTTTTGCTATAGTAAGACTGTGCTTATATCTCATAAGAATTCATTTAAACTATTAAAGGAATTGGGAGCTAGTGTTGAAGAAAATACTTAAGTCCAATGAGAGTAAAATCTATGTCAAGTCAACTTTTACCACATCTACTGAACTTCAGAATAAGGTCATTTATCTTGTAAGAGCTGCAGCATTCAATGTATATCATTTGACAAAATGTAATGTCCTTCCCATTGGGTGTGGAACACCTAGAATGTGATGCCCTTGGATGTGGATGGCAACATTCATCAACTGCATTTCTAATTTTACTAGGTGAAACACATTTTAGAGTATTATATGTTTCACCTTATTCTGCTACAGTCAGCCTCTATTCAATTAATAGTCATTGGTTTCTTTTCCATGCCAGACCCTTGGTTGGGGGAAAATGATAAAATAGAATAAGCAAAAAAGTAGCTGTCAGAAATTTCTACCACTTAGCATTAGGGGAACTTGATAGTTTCAGGTTGTTTTTATAACTGTGTGTATGTTTATTTGTATATATGTTTGTATATAAAAGCACATACATGTTTGTAGGTGTATGATATCTTTGCTACATCTTTAGTTGGACATATGCTGTAGCATCTCTACATATTGGCAATTGGTAAAAAGTTTTAACTGAGGCATATTTTTCAGTGAACATTGTTATTATCAGTGAAGTTTATTTATTGCATGGAGATTGATTTTTATCAGCAAAATGTGAGATCATTTTATAACAGAAGTTATTTGATTGGTCTTTTTGAGAGATTTGTCACAGAATTTACAACCTTAGTCTATTATGTAATCTTATATAGAGAAATATCCTTTATTGTTCACTAGTTCATTTATTCTATTAAATTAGTTATTGATGAATTCCTTTTTTGTACCTACTAACCTGTAAATATTGCTAAAAACCAACTCACCTAACAAAAACTTACTTACTTGATTGTTTTCTAAATTTTGTGTCTCAAATTTAATTTTGTTCTGTTTGGTTATTCAGATTAAAATAAGTCATTTCTTCATCCTCTACTTACTGAATTCCATTTGTACCACTTATATATTAAGTTTTGGGAATATAAAATCGAATACAAGGAATTTTCTGTCAACTAAGGTTGTAGTTAGATAGGGTGTGTGCTAATAAAGAATCTTGCTTGCAAACAAAAGTGATACACTGTTTAGGCAGGAAAAAAATTTATTGTAAGGTTATTAGAGAATTTTTAGAATCTCATAATGAAAAGCTGGAAGGCCAGGCTGAAGAAAGAATCATTGAAAGAGAATATTTGACACTTGCTCTGTGTGCCATTGTCTTTGCTTTGGAGGCCTCTTGCTTACCACTGGAGTTGTTTCTCTCTTTTCTGCCCTTCTGAAATCTAACCTTTCACAAAATATGTATTAGAGTTCTGCCATATGTATTTTAGAGTGCAGCATTCAACAGGGAAGCAATTCCTGTGCCTTAAAGTGCTTACATTCTCGGGTAGAGGCAGAAAAAAACCAAAGTTTAGTAAAAAATAAAAGTATCATTTGCCATAGATTCTAAGAGAAAAGGAAAACAAAGTAAGTGCAGCATAGGTAGGATTTATGCAATGATTTGAAAATAATAAAGCAAAGATCCCCATGGATATCTGGGAGAGCAGAGTTCCTACAGAGAGAATAGACAGTTAGGCAAAAGCTCACCACAAGTTCAAGGGACAGCAAGGAGACAAACCTGGCTGGATTGGAGACAGGGACAGTCCAAAGTGGAGGTCTGTGTTGCAATGCATTTGTATGTGAAGATAAGTTAGGGTCTTGTGTTCTTTTTAAAGGACTTTAAAGAGCTTGTTCCAGTCCGCTTAGTGAATTAATGCCGTGATAACAAATGCTTCCTCAATTTCAATGGCTTAGAGTGATAAACATTTCCTACTCACCCATGCGTCACTGCTTAGCACCACTGTTCCAGTCTTCATTCCTATGTGCAGTCTAATGGAGAAGCTTCCCCTGAAGGCAGCTCATCCTGGGGAAGACGGAATAGCAACGATATGACCAACCATGTGTTGTTCGCTCTTAGAGATTCTCTCCAAAAATCACACAAACAGTTTGGGCTTCTGTGACATTGTCCAGAGTAAGCCATATGAGTAAGCCCAGCATTAGTGGAGTAAGGAGGTATAATCATCTTTAGCGAGGGGTAATGGATATTTTTGGGCATTGACACAATTTACCCACAGAGCAATTGGAGAATGGCATAATTTGACTTGACATTTAAAAATTGTCTTGGTACTAAGAAAACATTGCTATAGGGAGGAAAGAACAGAAAGACCAGTTAGTTGATGATCCCAACAATCTATGTGAGAAATGAAGGCTCAGAATAGGCTGCCAGCAGTGGAGAACAAGAGAATTGGATGATTCTGGTTATAGAATGAAGGTGTGTAGCCACCAGGATTGACTATAGTGAGAGGCTTCAGGAATATTGGTGTTACTGAACCTGTGAAACTGGAAGGTTGGAGTTGCCTTTAACTGTGATTAATTGGGATGAGCAAGTCAGTAGGTGGAAGGATGTTTATTTTAAGTAGAAAACTGGGGACATAATAAATTGACATAAGTTATTCTTCATCCAAATGGAGATGTTAGTAAGGATGAGTGGATATTTGAGCTTGCTATTCACCAAATACTGACTGCTATATGTAAGGCACTGCTTTAGACATCAGTGATATATCAGTGGACAAAAGAAATGAAACTACCTGGTGTATCCTATGGTCTACTAAGGACACTTAAATTTTAGTGGCTTCTTTTAAGGAGTTTTTATAGAAACTAAGTAGATGAAGAATTGAGTGATTTTAATGAAAAATCATACAGTGATTAAACTAAATAATTGAAAGTACTTAAAACACACAGATCAAAAAGGCAGGAACAATCCTCATTTTATGTTTGAAACGATGAATTAACTTAAAGGAAAGTTTCAAATGTTTTTTGGTCAGCTAACTGAAGACAAAAGTGGGGAAAGCAGATTTGGATGACTCTCTTTGACTTAAGAAGAGGTGAGATTTATAGATGATGAAAGTTTTTCCTGAGAGAGCATATAGACCTAATGGTCAGGCTGTAAAAGTGACATGCAAATTAGAAACTAAAATTCAAGATCCGTATAGAAAAAAAGTGGCTTCAAACCTGGATTGAATTAGAAACTAAGATAATGTTTGCATATGATTAAATCATGTTTTTCTAAATTGCATGTTACCCTGTCATTCCATGACTAATATTTATTTAAGCATATATTTAGTTATTGAGTTAGTCTGAACAGCTAGAATTTTTCTGTTACTAAGATCTTAAGTTAGTCAGGGATCAAAGCACTGTTTTTCTTTTATTTTTACATAGAATCATCATAAAATAATAGCTCTATGAATAAGGCAGTGTGAAATCTGTTTTTCCTTTCCATTAGGAAACTCTGTCTTATTATAGGAAATCACTATGGGTAAAATTGTGCTAAAAAGGGTGTTTCAGGATTAAATAAATTGACCACATTGCTTTACTGTCTCCCAGAGTTCCTTTTGCAAAGTAGTGTTTTCTGAATATAACCAGCAAGAATGACTCAATATGGGCAATTACATTGCTATATAATCATCAGATATTTCAGTTTCATTACTATTGCTTTAAAAGGTAGCAAAGATGTCTGTTTAAATCTTCAAAACTTGAAAAACTTCAATTTTTCTGTATCTAAGACTTGTTGAGCATATATGGTAAATAACTTTTAAGTAACAAGTGTCTACATGTAAATTAAAATGTTATTAAAAATTATCAGAGGGCAAAAAATATAATTCACTGATTTCCACAATTCCCCCACCATTTACCTCACTCTTTTTGCTGTTACTGATTTATTAAGCTAATTAGCTGCTTTAAAACCTTTATAATTAATGAATATGAATTAGTACATCTAATTGGCATAGCATGGGTTTAAATACATAGACATTTAAAGCCTGTAAAACAATTTGGAAAAAAAGGATGTGTGTGTGGGGGGGACTCGGGGGTGACACAATGACTTATACTTGTGGAATATCGAGCAGGGCTGTCAAATGTACTTACCCTGGAAATTTAAATGGTGAACTTCTCTTTAATAATTTGATCAATTCATTTTGGGCACTTTTCTTTTTATTTAATAAATCAGGAAAGGTCTTTTATAGTACCATGTGTAGTACAATTTCCATTCAAGATGAATTATTTGGTGCCTTGTACATTTACTATACATAAATGAAAAGGACTCTAGAAGGAAGACAATTTTGCTGTTCTGCCTCTGAATGTGTTGGACTTCACAAGTTTATTACCATGGTTTACAAAAGACCAGAATATTGTAGTGTATCCCGCAGTTTCCTTTGCACCACCATCTCCTCTTTCTCCTTTATTACAGGTGCTGTTCCTATGTAGGTCGGAGGGGCAATGGACCTCAAGCAATCTCTATTGGAAAGAACTGTGATAAGTTTGGAATTGTTGTTCATGAGCTGGGCCATGTGATAGGTTTTTGGCATGAGCACACACGACCAGATCGGGACAACCATGTAACCATCATAAGAGAGAACATCCAACCAGGTGAGAGTCTTCAGGACATGTAAACTTATGTTTTTGTAAATAATGTAAACAATTCTGATGTGCTACAGTCAAAACTTCACTTAATTAGAAATTACCCCTGATGGTTTTATATTTTTAATTTTTTCCTAGAGATTGTATGATCCTCATGCATTTTCTAGGATTGCTTAATCTCTGAACACCTAGTGATTATTTCTAAACATCTGTTATTTCCAAGAATGGGTATGAGCAATTGAACTATGAGATAATACTATCAGTTGATTTCTTTTTTAAGCATTTTTTGTATTTAGTTCTATAATTTGTGCTATACAGACTTTAAAAAAGCTGGGGTTTTGCCATGACATGAACTACAGCCACAAGAGTCTATGTTATACCAGGTATAATTTCTGGAGAAAATTCCAGTGAAATGAGTCATTCCCAGGGAGTCTCAATAGTTTCTTTGAGATTTTCCTCTGAAATTTGACTAAACTAAGGACATACCCTTAAGAATGTTTTCAGCATTTGAAATGGAATTTAAAATTAAAATCTAATTTTCTTGGGCAGTTTGAGGTGTGATAATAGTCTCATTATAATTTTTTTATTTGTTTAACTTCCACATTTGTAAAGATCAGTACATGTCAGTTGCCAAAGAGAATTCTATTGTCTGGAATTTTCTTGTGAGGTAGTATATATTTTACGCATAGGCAAAGTAATGACGTTCTTATTCACGGATAATTAAATTACAATGTCAGATTACTTAGAAGTTTCTGAAATTTAACAACCTTCATCTCTTTATTTGCTCTCATGTATTTGGATCCAATTATTTATTGAGGCACTATTTGGTGTTAGAGATACTGTCCTGAAAAATACAAGGCTTAGTGGAGGTACATGCATATACACAAGTGAGAGAGAAAAGGAGCAATACTCAAATGTCCAAAGAACTATAGAGTCCTAGTTGGTGTGAGAAATATGTCTTGGCAAATCCAAAGAGGTGGCACAAAAATTATAATTAAAAAATCTTTAAAAGAAAAGTAGAAATGCTTCAGGTGGACAGAATAGTGGTGAAACTCCTAAGTGAATGCACATCACAATCATTTTCACCTACCCACTTTGGCTGCATAGTAAATTATGAGTGATTAGTTGGTGATCACCTGGGGAAATTAGGTTATAATCAGAATCTTTTGTATGAATCTAGTAGACTAGGTTTTATCCTCTAGCTACTTAGTAATAATTGAGGGATTAGCAACAAGGCAAATTCAGATGAAAAAAATAACTCTGTCAGCTGTAGGGATCCTTAGCTGAGGGTGAAAAAGATAAACTGAAGTTTGGAACATCTATGAGAAGGCTACCTAAGTAGTTTATGAAAGATGACTAGGTTCTGAACTATACAAATAGTCTCAAAAAGATTTTAAGAGGAGCATGAGGAGAAATCTTCTATAAGATAAATATTGATACCACCAAATGAAACAACAAACATTGATAAAGCAGCATGCTTTTGAGAAAGACCAAAGAAAAACCTGTTTTCATTTAATATACCCCTGAATTTGAAAAGACTTTGGTAATCCTTCTTTAGTAGTGAAGAAAAGATAAGTCTAGACTTTAGGATATATCTTATGATAAAAATTGTTAGCAGAGTCAACTATCTAGGGAAAAGCTGATGGAGAAGAAAAAAAAGTTGAGGATAAAAAATGGAGAGCAAAAATATTTGAGCGACATTTGGTGGAGTGGCCCCCAAAAGACTGAGAGATTATCTGGGAGGTAAGAGAAAAATGAGTGGAATGTGATGTCCCAGAAGCGAAGGGAATAAATCACTTCAAATGGTGACGTCAACCAGATGAGGTGGTTCGTGCCTGTAATCCTAGGACTCAGGATGCTGAGGCATGAGGATCATGAGTTCAGGGCCAGCCTGGGCTAAAACAAAAAAAGAATGATGAAGTCAACTGTAGAATTGGACAGCAAAGAGAAATAAAGAAAATTCGTACTTCCCAAAATTGAAGACTTTAATTCCTAAGCCAACTACCAAGCTTCACCTTGTGCTTGACATTAGGGGTAAAATAAAGAAGAAATAATACTTCTGAGAGTTGTTTTAGCTACCAAGCAAATGGGAAGAACTCTGCTGTTAAACACAGTTAGTTTCTTCTGTTTACCATACATTTTGTTATGTAGAACAAAGGATGTAACGTTCAAAAATGTTCTTACTCTTAAGGAGGCTTCTGATTCAATATAAATGTGTACATAAAACATGGAAGAAATGTATAATTCATATAAATACACAAATGATACCTATCACAATACTAGGTAAACTATGGCTCTTAGTAATTTTTTTGACTAAACATGTAGGCCAATTTTGAAAGAAAAGAAAAACATTGTAGAAGATTTTCTGAGGATTGGAACTACTGTAACGGAGCTGTTCCAGTCTGAGAGTATTCATGTTGGAGATTAATCATCCACAAATTTATGAGTAGCCCTAACTCATAAACTTAAGATCAGGTGTTACTCAACAGTAATGTCTAATAAGCACAAACCTTGGCTTCAAATTTATATGCAAATTTTGGTATGAGGATCATACTATAATCTATTTTAAAATATGCCTCTAAAAAGGAATCTTGCTATTTTTTTTAACCTTGGTATGCTCTATCTCTAGTGCTCTTCCCTATGCACTGAAATGTATTACTGAAGTTATTTATGCTCCACTTTCAGAAAAATTTATATAGCATTTGCCTTAATCAGAGAAGCTGTTCACACAGTGTGCTCTAAAATGCAGTTTTTTGGGGTTAGTAGCTACAAAATCTGGTTGGTGGCTTTTTGAAAATCCTCTCTTAGGAGAGAGACTACAATAGGCTGAAAATCCCTTATGGAGTTTTAACTGTTGCTTCTGGTGAAGAGAATACAGGGTGTTTTTTGAGAATGGTTGTAAGCTTGATATGTCAGAGATTTGCAGATCACGTATCTCACTACAAAGGCTGGTTAACTGATTTAAAATTATTTAATTTAAAAATTATTTATTGTGTGAACTCACTCAAAGATAGACTGAAACACTTTAGTCTTGGACTTGGGCTTTGTGATTCCAGGTGACTCCCTGCTTTCATTGCTCAAATGAGTGCTTGCTAGGTTTCATTAGTACATGTAGGGGAGACATTAGATTTTGTGCATCACTCCAAGTCTTTATTGCCTTTTGGTAAACTTTTTATTAATGTGTTATTTTTGGATTTAATAGCAATATGGAAGTTGGAATAAAAACTTAGTTGTATGAGTGATGTAATAATTGTGTTTTGAGCTCTAAATGTGAATGTGGAAATCTAGTAGCTCATTTTTATATTTTGATGTTTCAAAACCTTTTAGTTACATAAATGATATGACTCATAACATCTCTAGCTGCTTAAATTGTGAAATGGAAATCTAAGTCTTACTGAAAGAAATTCTTTGGCTCTGCAGCCATTGGCATAGACTACATGTTTAACTCTGTGGTTTTTTTTTTTTTAAATTTCAAGAAATAATATTACCATAAGGTACAAATAGGGAGTTGAAAAATCTGTGAAAAGTGAAGATGGCCAGAAGATAAAATAACAGATGTGAAACAAACAAACAAAAATTAAGGTCTGAAGCTGTTTTTCTGAGTCAAAAAGCTCTCAAAGTAGAGTTTCCTTTTCATCCAAGGAACACTTGCATCAGTTTTTGTTGAAAGTTACTGTTGTTTTATCTTTAGGTTCAAGCCATGTAGCTAAAACATAATTTTTTATAAGTATTTCTATAGTATCCCAAAACATAATGGGATTAAAAAAAACTAATATGAGATGTTAAAAGAGTGTACATAGGAAACAAACCAAAAGTATGCTTTTGTTGTGCAGAAATTAATTCATTATCCAATCAAACATTGCTCTTTCAATTCAATGCTAGAATAAAGCTATGTTTTGTGCACATGCAAAAACTACAACCAGCAAGAGTATCAGTATTTAGTAAAAAGCAGATGCAGGTGTAGGAAGGGGTCTTCTGTTTTCTTTTCTTTTAGTTAAAAAGGCTTCTGTGATTTTGTTTGTCCCTGATTCTTAGGTCAAGAGTACAATTTCCTGAAGATGGAGCCTGGAGAAGTGAACTCACTTGGGGAAAGATATGACTTTGACAGCATCATGCATTATGCCAGGAACACCTTCTCAAGGTTGGAGTCTCAGGTTATACTTTTTGACTTTTAATTCCTTTCTTCCGTGTGGCTCCTTAAAAAGCTATATTTTGCATTTAAACTAGAACCACCTTCAAATATTGCTCTTTTTCATGGTAGAAATGACGTAGGAAATAGATTAACATATGTAGTCAACAGCAGACATTATTTAAAAGGCATTTTAAGCTTCTTTCTCTGTGATGGTGGGGATTAAACCCTTGGCCTTCTCTGTGCTAGGCAAATGCTCTAATATTAAGCAATATCTCATCCTAAAAGACATTTTTAAACATATTTCTTATGATTTCTACTAAACATAAATTTAAGTGATCATTAAAATGGTATGAATTTTTTTAAAAAATTATATTTCTTAATTATAAAGAAAGAAGTTCATACAAAATAATTAGCTAATTAATCAATGTGTTAGATGGCAAAACATTACTTAATGAAAATTAGGCATTCATAGGTTACTCAGTTGTGGAGTGGTGATGTCATACTTTCTATGTAAGTTGTGTTTTATACTGTGCATTTTCATTTTTTATTCCTCTTATTCTTAAAAATTATTATTACCAGATGAATTCCTAAAGAACAGTTTAGGAAAACTTTTATTTCCATGTACCTTAGAACTACAGTTCAGCAACTAGTAAAATTGAGATTAGTTCATTAATAATCAGCTGCTCTTCTTAAAGCCATAGCAAATTTGGGTTTTGATCTGCATCATTCTAAGGAGAATGCCATCCAGCAAATGGCTCCTGGTGAGGAATTTTTAATGGTTGAAGTGCTGAACTCATCCATTCTTAGTACGAAGTACAAAGGATGTGCTAATGACCTTTAATACGCAGGCACATTATAAATTACCATGTAAAAAACTCAAACCTTAATTCAATTGTATTTAAAAGGTCCCCCTCTTCTAAATATATGTTTATTCATATTCAGTAATTGTCCATACACTTGCTGTTCCTGGAATTTGAATCTAAGTTTTGATAGGAATAGACTCAGAAATGTGGGCAGAATTTAATCCTAAAGTGCTATAAAATGTTTAGCTTTAGGTCAATGCTTGGAATTAAGTTTTCCATAGAAACATGTAAGAAATAGATATTTGGTTCCAGTTCAGCCAAGACACCTTTCTTATGCTGCTGAACTGAATTAATTAAAATTACCCTGAGGTTTGGTTCATTGAAATACAGGAGGTTTTGAAGAGTGTTGAAAAAATAATGAATCTTTATCCAAGTTTGAAATATCCATTTCCCCTTAGTCTGCACTAGTTTACATCACATTTTATCTTTCCATAAACCACTCTGCTCTTGCTCCCTGAAGTCCATCTCCCCACTCACTGCCTGTGTGTTGTGTGCCATTCATCCTAAGAAGTGCTCTTCTTATTGCTTCAAAACCATCTATCCATTTATCATAAATAAATTTATAGTCCCATATTGCAAAGGTCTATATCTACCTGTCAGAAGGATAATAGTCTGCTTGTTGCAAATGACATAATTTTATTTTGAGTCTCTACAGAGGATGTTTGTTAACATATTTAAATGACTTATTACGGGAAACAAGTTATTTGTCATAGTTCTCAGCTATGCCCCCCAAAAGTATTTGAAGTTTCTTTTTTTAATTATGTAAAAGCTATATAATAAAAGTTTACTATTTAAACCATTTTAAAAACACACAATTTAACAGTGTTAAGTATATTCACAGTGCTCTGAAACAGATCTCCAGAACTTTTTCATCTTCCAAAATTGAAACTTTTTGCCCATTAAACAATTGTTTTCCTCCCTTCCATCACCTGGGAACCAGCATTCTACTTTCAGTTTGTATAATTTGACAATATCTAGTTTAGATATTTTCTAGAATTGAAATCATCCAGCTTTTTATCTTTTGCAACTAGCTTGTTTCACTTAGTATTATTTACTCAAGATTTATCCATGTTGTAGAATATGAGAAGACTTCTTTCCATGAAATTGGTATTTCATTGCATAACAGTACATATATTGTATAGATAGTATATTGTTTATATAATGCACAGGCATACATATCAGTCTTGTTTGTCCCATCATCTGTCAATGGACATTTGGTTGTGTGGACACTTAGTTTCCTTCTGCTTTGTTTTCATGAATAGCGCTACTGTGACGGGTGTGCAGATGTCTCCCAGAGATCTTACTTTTAACTATTTTGGGTATCTTCCCAGAAATGGGATTGCTGGATCATATGCTGCTTCTACTTTTTGATTTTTGAAGAACTTCGGTTCTCTCTTTCATAGTGGTTGCACCATTTTACAGAGCACAAGAGTTCCCCCTTTTCATATCCTCACCAATACCTGCTAGTTTCTGTTGTGTTTCTAGTAGCTTTTTTTTTGTAAGGTGATATCTCATTTTGGTTTTGATTTACATTTTTCTGATGATAGCACCTTTTAGTGGTCAGTTGAATATCTTTGCATATTCATAGTAGCCATTCATTTATATCATCTTTGGAGAAGTTTGTATTCAAATTCTTTGCTTATTTTTAAATCAAGTTTTTGATGTTGAATTATAGGAGCTCCTATATATTATAGCCATTTATCTGATAAATGATTTGCAAATGTTGACTCCCATTCTATCGATTGCCTTTTCATTCTGTTACTTATGTCATTTGGTTCACAAAAAGTTTTAAGTTTGATGTGGTTCTGTTTGTCTACTTTTAGTTTCGTTGCCTGTGCTTTTTATATCATATCCAAGAAATATGGCCATATCCAACGTCATGAAGCTTTCCCACTATCTTTTCTTCTAGGAGTTTTATAGTTGTGTGTCTTGTTTGCATCTTTATTCCATTTTGAGTTTATTTTTTAAATGGCATAAGGATACACATCCATTCTGGTTATATGCCTTGCCCACAGACATCAAAGGCATGTTGTCCACCCATATGACGTCCGTGTCATTCATGGTTGGGTACTTGGCACCACTGCCCTAGAAGGGCAGCCAGATCACCCAACAGTCCACCAACTACAGCTGAAATCCTGCCCCTAGCAGCCAGATGGAGTTTGAGTCCACCTTCTGAGGGTGCCTGCGTTCTTTACTAGGGCTGTTTTATTGTCTCTTTGCTGTTACTTGTGTTGTGGTGACAGTGGGTCATTTGAGTCCTGTTCTCCAGCATGCACTTAATTTACTCCTCACACTAGGCACCAGTAACAAACCAGGCAAGTGGACTGGTGTGGAGCATTGTCTGAAAGGCCAGGAAGGTGCCAGGGCTTCCCAGATAGTCTCCATTTGCCCAAAGCTGGCCTTGGGAACAGGCCTGGAACCGGTCATTTTTGGCCTAACCCTCAGGGACAGTGAGGGCAGAAGAACATGGTTTCTTCAATTGGAGAATTTATCATGTTTCATTGTTCAGTTGTTCAGAGATATTATTAGATGGAGTTTGATCAGTTACAATTAAAAGTTGACTTTTTCCAGTTAAAAAAAGGTAAACATCCAAATTTATTCTTTTGCATGGAATTATCCAGTTTTCCTGGCACCTTTTCATGAAAAGACTGTCGTCCTTTCCTCACTGAGTGGTCTTGGCACCTTTGTTACAGATAACTTGTCCGTATAAGTGAGGTTTATTTCTGTTGTGTCTGTTTTGTTTCATCGGCCTATAGGTCTGTGTTAATACCATTTCCACACTGTTGTGATTACCATAACTTTGTAAATATTTTTTGAAATCATTCCTCCACATTTGGAGTGTGAGTTCTTTAACTCTGTTCTTTGTTTTCAAAATTGTTTCATCTGTTTGGTATTCTTTGAGATTATAGATGATTTGTGTGCATTTTTTTTTGCATAAAGTGTCATTGGAATTTTGATAGAGGTTGCACTGAATCTATATATTGCTTAGAGTAATATTGACATCTTAACAATATGAAGTCTTTAAGTTAATGAACACAGAATCTTCCCACTAATTTGCCTCTTTTTAAATTTCCTTCAAAGATGTTTTTAGTTTTCACTGTGCAAGTTTTTTACCTCTTTGGTTAGATTTCCTTTTTTGTTCTTTTTTACATTATTGTAAGTGGAATTTTGCTTAGTTTCCTTTCTGGAGTGTTCTTTGTTAGTGCATAGAAATGCAATCGAATTTTTTCTGTTGATGTTATAGTCCACATTGCTGAATTCCTTTATTAGTTCTCATGGTTTTTGTGTAATATGCAGGGTTTTCTATGAAAAGACCATGGCATCTGGGAACAGAAATATTTCTCTTCTTCCTTCCCAATTTGAATACATTTTATTAGTTTTTCCTGTCTCTGTTTCTGTCTCTTTCTATATCTTTTTTTTTTTTTTTTCTAATTGCTCTGCCTAGAACTTCTGGTTATGTTAAGTTGTTGAATAGAAGTGGTAAGACTAGGTATCCTTTCTTTGTTCTTGGTCTTAGAGAAAAAGGTTTGTTTTTGCTCATTCATTGTGATGCTAGCTGTGGGCTTTTCACATATGGCCTTTATTATGTTGAGGTAATTTTTTCTATCCCTAGCTGTTGAGTGTTTATCATGAAAGTCTGTTGAGCCTTGTCAAATGTTTTCGACATCTCATTAGTTGGGATGGTAGAGTTTTTGCCCTCCATTCTGTAAATGTTAAATATTCGAAGTTTTGCAGTTTCTTCTGTTCTGGACTCTTTTATAGATTCTGAACAGAGTCTATAAAAGTTCCAGCTTTTTATGAAGGTAGCCCATCAGTAGATTTAAGAATTTACTTGTGGGAAGAACAGTGCTGGATCTATGCCTCATATTTTGTAACACAGATGTTTGCAAACTGGAGACAACCCATTTTTCATTGAAAAGAGTTATAATATTTTACAAAGCTTTTTTTTTTAATGGCTAATTTGCTCTTTTAATGTGGGAAAAGCAAATGAAGAATGGAGATTAGAGGACCCTCAATAAGATTTGTCTCAGGCCAATTGGTAGTACTTTCTGAGAAGGTCCAGTAGGAACATACCTCGCTTAATGGCCAGGAAGTGGAGGAAGAGAATTGTTAACTTCCTGAAAACAAAGAAAAAACAAATGGATAAGTGACTGACCTATTTTGGAATAGAAGGGAGGTTACTTCAGCATAAAAAATGGCCCCAAATCCATCAGTGAGATTGAATGTATTCACTCCAAAATGCCACCAATCTTATAAAACTGAATTGTTTTTGGAAGTGGAGAAAAAGTAGAAATTTGCAAAGATTAAAAATGTATTTTTAGAAATGGAAAATAGTGAATCCTTTGTTAGCCCTGAAATGCTGCAGAAATCGTAACACTTCGTTAATTTAGATTTGCCTGCTTGATGTATTCATTGATCCATGCAGCCTTGTTGAGGAATGGTTTTTCTCAGTGCTACCTCGTAATTCAACCCCCTCTTTCAGTTACACTGTCCTACCTGGAGTTGCATTTTAGCCATACGCGCAGGCTGTCACTTTTAATGGGCACTTTCCATACGTCATTAGTCTCCACTTCTCTGTCCTCATGTTAGGCAGTACACATATAGGAGGTTTGGTAGATACATAGATCTTGTTGAGAGATCCATGCTCTCCATTTGAGTACTTTAGGTTATATCTAAAGATCAACACCCTTTACCTCATCTAAGAACTAGAGAACTTTGTCATAAATTACTCCCACATCATGTTTATCATTTTCCTATTGATTAGCAGTTATCTTCAAGGTAAGGATTACTTACCTTGAAGTCTCACTTTTGGGATCCTCTCATCTCCGAGCTGTGGTGTCTTGTCCTTTCTCTCTAGGAACTCTCTACGCCCAGTTACACACATAGCCTTGACACTTCATGTTTGCTAAAATGTCAAATTCCAGATGAGTTTTCTTTTTTATCATTCTACTCAAAGCTAACTCACACTGCACAATCAGTATCCATCCTCTCAACTTTATTTTTTATCCTAGCACCTATTACTACAAGGGTTATAAATCATTTATTTAATGTCTTTCTCTCTGCATTAGGTTGTTAGAATCAGAAAAAGAAAGATCTCTATTTTATTTACTTCAAAAATTTAGACTTAGAACAGTGCTTAAGGAATAAGGAAGCTGAAAATGTTCTGTTAACCTGCAGTATAAATGAAATATATTTATTTATAAATTTTGGAACAGAATGTCTCATTGTGCATCTCAATTTTAAAGTTTTTAAAAAATGTTTTCTTATTTTAGAATTTTTTTTACAAACTTCCTTGTACTTTTTTTTTTTTTTTGGAAAATCCCCATATCCACACTCCATACTTCTAATCTCATTGGAATAATATCTCAGTCCATTTTAACTTTTAAGCTCAATACTTCCTTGAGCATTATAAATGTTGCATATATATTGCAAAATTAGAATGCATCTTTAGTGCACTGCAGTCAGAATTTTAAATTATGCACATTAGAAAAAAATACCAAGTCTTTGCCACAACCTTTGAGTTCAAAACAACTTAGTATCTGTAGCTTACCATTAGTAAGGCATTGATTACAGTATTTTTTTTTTGCTTATTGATTTTATCATGGGAAATTGCAAAATTATGTAAATATATAAAGACATTTTGATTTACATTGTCCTGTATAAATTTGTGTTGCAATAATACTGGGAGTTCTAAATTAACTTTTTAACTTTTGATTCTTATAATTTTAGTAATCTCAAAATTATATATTATAGTCTTATTTTGTTTTCTATCTGAGGAAGAATTGTTTTATAACCTGTTAATCTTTGGATTACCTGATGATCAAAACAGAAAGCATGGTGTACTTTGTGGGGGACTGTAAATTAGTCCACATTTTTTGAAGCATCTAATGCACACTTCTCAGGTCATTATTGACTTTATGCAAGACACACACATTAAGCATAGATTTTTTTTCAACTTTGATGAAAGTGTATTGAAAGCCTTTTGTACTAGTTTATGTGCACTCTTGGTATATTTCTCCTTTGCTTGGCTTGAGTTTGAAAAAGATAACCTTGTATTTGTAGGAGTATGTGCATTTTAATTTGGTGTCGTAACTTAAGTGCTTTTTTTTCCCCAGGGGGATGTTTCTGGATACCATTCTCCCCAACCGTGATGATAATGGAATACGTCCAGCAATTGGTCAGCGAACCCGTTTAAGCAAAGGAGATATTGCACAGGCAAGAAAGCTGTATAGATGTCCAGGTATTGCACCATGCATACACAAACACATGATTGTGCTTGACTGTGCTCTTCCAGATGCACAAACTACAATTACTCAACTGGTTGTCTTTCTCTGTGCTGCAAATAATGGTTCAAAGTTAGTAATCACAAAATGAAATAGGAGAGATCTCTGGAACACTAGTGCTATAAATAAAAGCAAACTGCTAGAAACCAGATTTCAAGGGCAGAGATAGTACATTTTATTTCTTTTAATTCAGTGAGTAAAAGAGCCAAATACAATGGTTGTTTATTGTTAAATAGTTGCATGATTTTATAGTCAAATGCTGTTTCCTTGCTAACCTAAAAAGATTATCTTTTCAGAATCAGATCCTGTGTAATCTTTCCTTGCAAGGACCAACACCAATCACATATGAATTAAAATTTTATCAGTAGCGATTTAAAAGCCTGTTGCAAAAAACACGTTCTAAGCACATTGCTAGTATATTTTGCCATTGAATCATGTTGGGTAAAATGATGAATGAAAGTTTTTAACTAGAATATTCTCATAGAATACTAGTAAGTTGATGATCCAAAAAAATAAAAAGAAAAATAATTAAGTGCCTCAAGATGGAAATGTCATGGATCCTCTGTACATCCTGTATTTCACAATCTTTGAAATATATCAAAGAAACACATTTAACTTTGCTTAACATAGTTTTTCTCAAATTATTTGTCCAAGGAAACTTTTTCCCCAAATTGATTGAATACTAAACTTGTAGATGGTAACCTATAAAGGTTTTAATTGTCTGCTATACTAATAATTTTTGCAGGTAATCAGGAATATGATGGGGACATTGATCATTTTTTTTCTTTCTTTGCAGTAGTGGAGGTGGAGCTCAGGGCTCCACACTGGCTACACAGGTGCTCTACCACTTGAGCCACACCCCAGGCCTTTTGCTTTTAGTTCTTTTTTCAGTGTGCTTCATGCTTTTGCTAGGACAAGCACAGATGATAACCCTCTTACCTACATCTCCTGAGTAGCTGGGATTATAGACATGAACCACTGTATCCAATGAAATTACAGACCTTTTATGTCAATAATCATTTAAAATTTATTTACATATTAAATTATTATGGTGTTCTTATGTTAGGTGTATTATGATTTATATTATCAGTACAGGAAACCTCTTTACAGTAGAAGAGAAACTAACTGTTTGCAAAAATTTTAAAAGTGCTCCAGGACATGGTTTAGATTGTTTCTGTTGAACAGATAAAGACATGTGCAAGCAAGAAAACAAGTGAATTGGCTGAATACTGCCAGGAAATAGGTAGCTCAAAATTACATATGGGTGATACATTTATTCCTGACACAAATACATTTTGTTAAGATTTCAGCTAAAAGGAGTTTCCTCTCTGTAAAATCATATGTGTTAAGGAAAGTTGTAAGAAATTCTTTTTTCTCAATGTTGTCATAATGGTTAGATTTGGGCCCATTATATATATTATATATATATTATATATATATATTTTTGAAGGGTAGTTGAAATTTTTGAAATTTAATGCCATACTTAAAACCTTTTACATCTTGATGATTGAATGTTGAAAGTAACCTTTAATTTTTTTTGTACACAAACATATTTGTAATTGGTATGCTTAAATATATATATATCTATATAGCTAAAACTCCTTCTACTTAATGTTCATCAATTTTGGGGGCAATATTGGGATTTGAACTCAGGGCCTCATGGTTTCTAGGCAGGTGCTATATAACTTAAGGCACATCCCCAACTCTTTCTAGCTTTAGTTATTTTTGAGGTGATATCTCATGTTTTTTCTCAGGGCCAGCCTCAGATGTCAATTCTCAGATGGCCTCCTGAACAGCAGGGATTGCAGGCATGAATCATCGTGCCCTATTTACTAATTGAAATGGAGGTCTTACTTTTTGCCTGAGCTGGCCTCCAACCATGATCCTCCTAATCTCTGCCTCCCAAGTAGCTAGGATCGGGTGTGAGCCACCAAACTTTGTGATAGTTAAGCTGGGTTCACATTTGAAAAAATACCTTTTAAATGTTTATGTGTGTACATAAGTACACATGTATATGATATCACTTTGTTTATATTTTTACTGCAGATTTCCATAGGAAAGATGAATTTATGAGAAAATATATGACAAAAAACCTGGGGGATCCTTTACTAATTTTTAGCTATGTGGACTTGGGGTTTTTAGATTTCAAAATGGGGAAGATTATGTGATTAATAGCAGCTAAATAAAAGGACATGCTGGATAAAATGTTTTGATAAATGTATTTACAGGTGCATGATATACTTACAAAGCAAACTGGAGCCACATTGCATGTGAAATTGTAGTAAAGTTAGGAGGGATCAAAAAGTCATCAAACTTATTTTAACTTTCACCAACATTGCTTATTTCAGCTATTAAGAGGAAGAAAATGAGAAGTATAGTGTCCACTTGAGATTCAATTGTGTAAATACATGAATGGTCCATAACTAACATATACATTATTTTAATGCAGTAAAGCCACATTCATAAAAGCACTATGATCTGTGAGAATGATGTCCTGTATTTCTAAAGCAGTATAAGAAGCAAGTTGCGTGGAGCAAGGGAGAACTAAGACACATTAAATTGCATGCTTCTTTGGTTTGCTTATTCTCACTCTTTTTTGTTAAAAATTTGCTGGTGAATAGAGACAATAAAATGTGTTTGGCTATTTTTTATTCCAACTTTGTTTTTTCTTCAGTTTATGCTCAAAACTGTATTTGGTCTATATTTTACGGAACAGTTTCTTAATTTACACAACAATTTCTTAGTGTTGAAGTTTTAAATGAATAACAATCTGGTTAAGTATATAGTTAGATATATGAGGTTGTGGCTTTTGTGATCTGTGATCAGTGATGCTCTGCACCAAAAAAAAAATGGCAAGTTTCCAATAAGCAGACTGCAAATATTTTTTGTTGTTCCTTCTTAAATAATATAGAAAGTGTTTTTGAAGATGTGTCAGCAGAGCAGAATTAAAATATGTATATTTTTAATTTCCTTAAATTAGTATTAACTGTTATTCTTATGGGACTTTATGATTGATACGTATCTTGTAATCCATTTTGGTATTTATCTGTTCATATATGCTCAACATATAAGTTAGACTGATAAACGAAACCACAGTTACTTACTGCACAGGAAATGTGTAACTATCTTGAAAATGTTCACTGCAAGAGTAGATTAGATTTTTAAGGTGGCAATTAGAACATGCTTATTATAGTTCAGAAGTGTTTTATTGGGTGTTCTATGTGTTAGTTCAAGAGATGAATGAGAGACAAGAAGAGTGTGTTTAGTATCCCTAGCACTCTGCTGATAAAAGACACCCATCCATTGCCAAATCACAGAGACCCAGGAAACAGGGAAAGGAAGGCAGAGCTGCTCAACACTGGGATTAGGGAGATTTCTGGACATTGCTGCCAAAAGGTCATCCTGTGTTCTTCTGATGGCTTCCAAGTCAATAAGCAAAAATGCATCTTAAAGAACACCTGCTAATTCTGCTTGTCTATCATTACGATCCCTTGCATCTTATATACTGTTAGGACAAGAACCATCCACGTGGGATAGAGAATGGTTTTTTGTTACAACTCTACATCTTACCTTTTTTGCTAGGCATTTGTAGGAATGCCTCTCTGGGGTACATGAGATAACAGTAGTATGCTCTTCATGATTTGGCTTTCCAGTTCTTCTCCTTCTGAGCCTTTTTCCTTGTGATTCTCATTTTCTAGATGAATTCATCTCCTCTTAGCCTTAATCATAGGTTGACTTTTATTTTCTTATTTCTAAGATGTCTAATTTAACTCCTCTGTTACAGAAACTGGTCTTCATCTGCATTTTGTCTCCATTCAGTTTTCCTGCAATCCCATGACCTTTTTGCTTACAACTCTGTGGAATTTAAGGCAACTGTCAACCCTAATATTTTCTCAGTAAATCTTCCTTAGTTGAGTAAGCCAGCTTTCTATTACTGTAACAAATACCTGAGACAGTTAATGTCTACAGAGAAAATGTTTATTTTAACTCATAATTTTGGAAGTTCCAGCCTATGATCAATGGGTCCCATTGCTTCTGAGCAAGTGGAAAAGCAGCACATCATGGCAAAAGTGGTGACAGAGCAAACTTGCTCATGTCGTAGATGGGAAGCCAAACAGAGGAAGAGGAAGGGGTGGGGTCCCACTCTCCTTATCAAGAGAATACCCTCAGTTACCTGCAAACCTTCCACTAGGCCTCACCTCTTAAATTTCTATCTCCTCCCAGTAACATCACTGTAAGGATGAAACCTTTACCATGTGGGCCTCTGGGTGACACTCAGATCCAAACTCTGCCATCAAGTAACATAGAAAAATTAATATATAAAATAAATTGATATATAAAAATAAAGTATTTTGAAGGTTAGAATCTCTCTTGTTATTTAAAAAGCTATGCGTATTCACTTATGAACCCACATTTAACCTGTGTTTATAAAAATTTTGGTATGCAAACAGCACTTACGGGATGTACCAGTCCCTTGATACACATTATGTGAAGGCTGTAGGATTGGAAGGTCAGTTTTAATATGCATGGAGTCTGATTGCTAGAAATGTTTTACATTGGCTTAACATTTGCTTCATTTAACTTTAAAGCTGATAAAAATTTCTTTTTCATTACCTAAATTATAGTTAGCTATGTTTTGTAATTTTATAATTCTCCACAATTCCAGAAGAATGTTCTATTATAATTACGTGTGTGTGTGTGTGTGTGTGTGTGTGTGTGAATCTTGGCTACCATATATTAACAACATACAAAAAAAAAATCACTTAACCATTTTTTCTCTTTCTTCACGGATATGTTTATTTGTCCACCCAGCAAACATTTCTTAGTTCAGTGGATGGTAGCATAGCCCATCCAGTAACCTGAGTCAGAACTATGAGAGGCATTCTCCCTTCTTTGCTCCCTGCCTTTCTTCCTGTACCTGCCCAGCCCATGGCCCTTTTGCTACTGCCTTTTTCTGTATCTTAATTTTGCAGTGAATAGTATGAGTTCATCCTCTCTTGCCTGCATGGCTAACATGCTTTCTACTGGCCTCCTCCTCTTAAACTTCAGTCTTTAGGTTCTACAGCCATCCAAGTGCCATTTCAAAATGCAAATCTTTTCCCACACATCTTTAGGATAAAGGCCAATTTCCTTTTCAAGATGTCAACTTCAAAATTTGTCCCATGTAGCTGGAGGTGTGTCTCAAACATTAGAGCGCTTGTCTAGCAAGTGCAAAGCCCTGAGTTCAAACCCCAGTACTGCCAAAAAAATAAAAAAAACGCGCCCAAAAAAGAATGTCTCTACAGCTTAGCTTCTCTCCCTTACTTCCTTCAGGCCCCAGAACTATGGTGTCACTTACTTTTGCCCTCTTTGTGAGTCAGAACACTCGTAACTGCCACCTGTTTAAATCTTCATATTTAAAAACTCCTTGGCCTCCCAAGACTCCTGTTGTCAGTATCTCTGTCATTTCCCATTGTATATTGTAAGCTCTTTGAGGATCAGAATTACACATTTCCTCATGGAATCTGAAATACATTAGATGCTCAACAAATAATGGAAAAAAATTAAAGAACTAGTTTGAACAAGCGTAAAATGCACTGTAATGGATGCTACAGAGACACAGGAATGAAAACAGAATTTACACATACATAGCACAGCATGGAGAGGCCCTCCCTGATGGAAGCAATGTAGCAAACTGAGAAATAAATCCAGTCAACAAAGGATGCTAAGCTAGTTCCAAGAAGTTCTAGCTGGTCTGCTGTACACTGGACACAAAGCCTTCCTGGAGTTGATATTTATGCTTTGATGTAAAATGTATTTCAGGCTGTCTACGGACTCAATATGGAAATGGTATTTCAAAATCTTCTGTCAGTTTGTTTCACTACTTTTGCACAGATAATGACTTAAGAGGCCTTTTGTTTTTGCTACTTGACTTTTGAAAATAATCTTTTTTAAAACCAAAACATTTAAAATTTTAAAGTTGACATAGATTTATGAACAGTTAAATAAATTAGTACTACTAAGTTGATTGTATATTATAAATTAATTTATTGTTTTCAGAGATTGATTCAATATAAATTATTGTGCAACTACATATATCTTTATTAGTTTTAGTAAAATTATAGATACATTCTACAGATTATAGAGAAGGGGAAGTTCATAAGCTTTGATGTCTGTTGGATGCTATGGACATTTGACAAGGAAAATATTTGTAGATGGAAATGTAGTCTGCTGTGCATTTAACCATGGTATTAAAAGAATGAGAATCTATAATTCCTCAAAAATGCACTATCTAGATGACAATTATGTCATTCGGGTACAATTTTCGCTGCTAAAAGAAGATTCCCTGTGCTTTGTGCCACATTTGAATTTAATAGTTCCCCCATTGTTAATTTTGTAGTTGTTTAAATAATAGTTTTAAAATCTGAGACTATATCAACAAACACCAGGGCATGGTTCTGAAATGTTTCATGTTTTGGGGGCCACATAGCCTGGGACAGTCATGTTTATTGAAATTAACAAATGATTACTGGAATGCACTTTTATTGTAAATAGTGCTATATTACGGGCTTCTTTAATTTAAAATTTTTTGTTATGTTTTATTTGTTTATTGAGTCTCTTTTTAATCAGAACAGTATTGCTTGTACACATTTGTGGATTAGATATATTTAATTATTTTAATTCCACTTTAGGAAATCCATTCTAAGCATTGCCTGTGACTTGGAAGAGCTTTAAGTCATTGTGGAACTTATTTTTAAACTGTTGTGAATTATAGTTTTTTCACCAAAACACACTCAACTCTCAAATCATTATTTAGCAGATAAACTGATCCTAATTGGAGGCACATTATTTGTATTAATAAAATCTTAACACATTTTCATTTCTGTAAGGCTTCCTGTCATGCGGCAGTTATAGAATGCCCTGGATGATACAGAATGATGCTTAATTATGTATTTTTCCACGTTGAGCATTTTCATTTTGTTCTAAAGTTCCTTTCGTCTGCCTGGTTCACCAGAACAAATGTTACTTGTTCCTACTTTAAATTTATTTTGTTGTGTGGACAGAATATCTGGTTTTCTGAATAAATATTTATATCATCTCAGACTGTTTTTATAGCTCTGCTTTATGTTTTCAGAGTCATTGTCTTTCTTTTTTAACACAAGATATGCAGAACCATTTATAATTCATCAAGGATTTGATGAGACAAGAATTCGCTTGCTGGTAGCTAGGATCCTGTAACATTGCCACGTTTCTGTTTGGACTGTGGTCTCCTTCAGGAATAAGGAGCTGCTCTTTTGGGTTGTTGAGTGAAGGTTGTAAAGATGGATGACTGTAGTGAAGCAGTCAGTCTTGAATTAGGGCTCTTGGCATGGTCTAGGGTCATGTAGCTCGTGCCATGTCCTACAGAGGCAGCAGTGCAGCTGATAGTTCACTATGTCACATGGCTGATATTTATTTCCAAGGGATAAAACAAGATTATAAAGAGAAAAAATTTAATTGCTTTTTTAGCAATTTCTACTTATGATTAACAGAAAGGGATAGTAAATAAATATTTAGAAAGTATTTATTTGGAAAATATGAATCTTCCATAATATTTCAATGTCTGTTTTTCTTATTTTGAAATATTGTATGTGCTATTTTGATAATCACTTTATTGAATACTTATTATCACTTAAGATATTTTAACCTTGAAATAGTATTTATTGTTAAATTTAACCTTCAAATTCATATTAATAGAATGGTTTGCATGGTCCCAAAGCCAAATCAACTAGGTCTGTATGCTGGTTTGACCCTAACTATGTGAGATGTCCTTTACGTCAGCTTTTGGCTATGTGAGAATGAGCAAGAAAAGTTAGTGTATGGGAGAACTTTGTGAATACCATATCATTTACCTCATAATCTTGTTTTGTTGTTAGCTGTAATGGTGCCATTGAGTATGCTGAAATTCTGGTAAAAGAGACATTAAAAAGAAATTGGCTTAGAAAGGTAAAGTCTTTGGAGCTGCTTGTGGTGTCTTACACTTGTAATCACAGCACTCAAGAGGTAGAGGCAGGAAGATCATGAGTTCAAGGCCACTCTTTAAAAGAAAGAAAATAAGAGCGGTCTTTTGTAAAATACTCTTGCCTAAACTTTTTAATAGTAATTCATAATTTCATAATAATTCATGATAATGAATGAATGATTTCATACCTTTCTTCCTTTCAGCATGTGGAGAAACCCTGCAAGACTCCAATGGCAACCTTTCCTCCCCAGGATTTCCGAATGGCTATCCTTCCTATACACACTGCATCTGGAGAGTTTCTGTGACCCCAGGAGAGAAGGTAGTTCATGTTATTCTATTTTAGTCTCATAAGAGTAAAAAATATCAGTTTTAAAATAGAATTTGTGTCTTTTATTCTTATTTCATTATTCATATATTCAGGAAATTATTAATGGAACTTGTACAAATTCTGGGAAGTTTGAAAGATATAATTTAAAAATTAAGGGTGTCAAAGGGTTGAAAAATACAAATTATATTCTCAGACACAATGATATTAAGTTAAAATCAGCATCAAAAAGATAACCTTTTCACATGTAAAATTTTTAAAATGTACATTTAAATGTTCAAATCAACTAAGAAGAAATTATAATGAAAATTAGAAACTGTTTTCAACTATTATACAACAAAACACTGAACACCCAGCTTATAAAATGCAACCAAAGCAGTATTTACAAGGAAATTCAAGGAGCAAAATGCTTTTCATTAAGAAATAGAAAAGCCCCAAACTAAAGAATTCTGTATTGATATAAAGAGTCTATAAAGAGAACAGTCATAAGGGAAGAGCCACACATGAAGATGCACTGCTATAACCCTAGCTTTCAGGAGGCTGAGCTTAAGGCCAGTCTGAGCTACACAGTGTGACCCTTTCTCTAACCCTTTGTCCCCACAAATGGAAGATATTTAAAGAGGGAAATAATAAGAGATCAAACTAATAACATGAAAATGAGATGGCTAGAAAATATGCTAGTTTGAATTGATTTAAAAATAGTGAAGTAAAATTAAAAGACTAAGAATGAAAAATATGACACAATTAGAGCACATTTAAAAATTTTTTTAATTAATTATTATTTAATATTTAAGAAAATGGATTAGTGTTGTTATAGATGCTTTAGACAATAAAATGAGATAAAATAAAATTTTGAACATCAGCTGATAACTTAAAAGCTGTAGATGTAATTGACAAATTCCTACAATATAATACCAAGTTCTTCAAAGAAATGCAAACTTACCTACTTCTGTAATCATTAAGGAAATGAAACCTTAATTAATTAATTGAATTATTCGTATTTTTTTCAACAAAGAAAACAGGTTCAAATGGCTTCATTGGTGAAATCCACAAAACATTGAAGAAGGAAATAAGTATATCATATCACACATATATGGATACATATGAATGTATGCATGCTCCTATTAATATATGAAGATATATTCTCTTCTTTATATGGCTAAAAAACCTTGGTACAAATGCTAGTAAGTATAAGAAAGGAAACTTATACCCAGAATAAGGGCATAAAAATTCCATGAAAATTACCAAATCAAGTGCATATATATATATATATATATATATATGCTCATTTGTGTGTATATACTCATTAGAAAAGTATCTCAAATCAAGTAAAAATCCCACTAATGATTTATCAACAATAATAGCAAACCCTGAGCAAATGAAGAAGATACTTTAGTTTACAAAGAGGATCACAAACTCTATTTTCATTGTGCAAATTCAGAGTATTCTTTTGAGACAGGTAATAAAACCAGGAGTGTCCACTACCACCATCTCTTTTCAACATTTTGTTGGAAGTCATAGTTAGCATAATAAAGAAAACGGAATTAGCATATAAAAATTGAAAACAAAGACAAAATTTCCTATATTGTATTTATTTTATCTGATGGGTTATAGAACTCAAAATCATTAAGAAATTAAATCAATGAGTCTTTTTAAGTTTTAGAGACTGTCTTGAAAGCTAACCTGATGCCTGTATTGATAGTTATCTATATTAATATTAATAACTTATGTTGATGTTAATCTTCATTATTTTTGCTAGTAACTATAAGTTTGGCCCTTTAACTTGTTTGGAATGACTTAAATACAATCATTAGCTTTGGAAAAATACCATTGTGGTTGAAAAATGTTTGATTTTCCTGATGATAATTGAACATTGTTAAGAAGTATCGTGGATATGGAGCTATCCAGGGTGTTGTGATATTCATAGTGAAAACTCTTTGAATAAAATAATTCTGTAACATAAACAATTTTATATGTAAAAAGTTACAACTGATGGACTGCATGGATGCATGTATAGTTCTGTTTAATTATTTTCAATTTAAGCATCATAAGTGTGCTGAAATGTGGTTGTAAGTATTGATCAACTTCTGTTTGGTTCTTTTAGTAAGACCCTGACCATGTGTAATGAAAGTCATTCTTTAAAAAGTACCAAAGAACAAATTTTAAATGATCGTGAATTTTGAGAGGAAGTTTAAAACTATGTTTCAAAAGCCTTATAGAATCTGAAAAGTTTTGGAACAGATTAATCAAATTAAATCATTTCATAACTGGGAAAAAGTTTCTCTAATCCAATTGCAGTAGACTATACAGTTACCATTCAATGTAATTCACTTTTCTCATCTGATAACCAATAAAACTATATTTTCCAGTGTGTTGCAAGTATGAAGAAAGCAATAGTTCTATCATTTAAAAAACCTATGTTAATATTATTTATGGTGATTAGTGAATAAATCAACTGTCTTCAGTGGCCAAAGAAGAATATTAACTCATTTTCAAACCTTGTATCTTTATTTTCTTTTTTCTAATACTGGAGTTAATTCTGTGTTTTCTAAAACTTAAGTAGACGTGTAAATCATTAATTTCAAACATCTTTTATTTTCCAATACAGACATAAATGAATAGTATTTTCCTAACTACTATTTATCTGAGTTGCAACAATTTGACATATGGTATTTTTGTTATTTTTAAATTTGAATTATTTTATGTATTTTGTTAGCTCTTCTCAACCTGAATACTTTTTTTAGTAATGTGTGCTTTTAAAAAATTTATTTGCAAAATGTTTTCACTGTCCTCTTATTCTTACTAATTTTTCCTCTTATTACCTTTGGAGGAAGAACTATGCTCTATATGAGGTCAGTCTTTGAAATAGCTTCCAGCCAGAAAGGTCTTGGAAGAGACCAATATTCATAAAAATAATCTTTGCTTTAAAATATGCTTTGTACAATGGTTGGTTGTAAACTTCATTGTGCATTCATTATTCTTTTCTCATTTTTGATTTATATATTCTCTATATTATTCCTTTGATCTGCTGATCTATCAAATAATTAGAAAGGTATGCTAATATTTGTCATTATTTAGCAGACTTGTCTTTTTCTTTTTTTATTATATTATTGTTATTCTGGGGGTACACTGTGCCATTTACAAAAGTTCTTAAAATATATCATAGTCGAATTCACCCCTTCTATCATTCTCCTTTATTCCTCCCTCCATTTTGTTTTATCTTCCATCTGTTGGTGGATAGTTGGATTAATTTTTCCTTTTTTTCTTTAATAATAAAGAAAATTTTCTTAAAAATTCAAGAGTCATTTAAAAATATATGCAAGAGTAGAGGTGTTCAAATAAAAACATTAAAATGGAAGACTGCTGTAGGACTAAAATAAACGGAATGACATCATAGATCAAGATGTAAAGTTACAGTATTATAACTATTTGGTTTCTCCCAAATAATGTAAAGTTTTAATGTAATTGCAAACCAGTTTCCAAAAGAGTTTTGCTTTTGTACAGATACCAAATTTCTAGAGTTTTATTTTAAAAATGAAAGCTTTGGCATAACCAAGGCAAATCTGAAAACAGTGTCAATGAGAGTGGGCTGTACTGCCTGCAAGATATTAGGAAAATATTATGAAGCTGTAGTAATTCAAATTCTGTGGTAATGTCAAAAGAAGCTTCTGGATCCACAGACAAAGCTAAGGGAGTGTGCCAAGGGGCAAGGAAGACTTTTCTGATGTATTCATTTATAAAGATCAATTTTTCAAATAAATTGGAAAAATGAGGTTTTTTAAATTAAATAATATTGAAATCATTTCTAAGGATTTGTGAAAAATTAAACTTGAAAAAGTAAACTTTTAGAAAATATTTCATATTTTTCTGCAGAAACTGCAAGTTACTTTTTTTAGTTCAGGGAAAGATGTCTTAAGTACATGAAAATAAAACATGGACATGTAGAATTTAGTTGGATTATCTGTATAACATAAATCTTTTTCACAAGAATACAAAGAACACAAATAGAGACACATAGCACATGAGGTAACAGAACATTGGATTATTCACACATAAAGGTCTATTATAAGCAATAAGGAAAGATTAATATCACAGTACAATATGACTAAGGAAGTAGACAATTTACTGAGGTGTCAATGCAAATAGATATTCTTTTAATAAATGAAATTGTTACTTCCACTCTGTCTATGACGTGCTGTATGAACCAACAATGATGTATTGCATTCACATATCATACTGGCAAAGGTGGAATCGAATAATGATATCAAGTGATTGCTAGGTACAAACTTCAGGAAGTAAAAAATAAAAAGGCTTCCTGAAGTATTTTTGGTATTCTGTACCACATTTCGAAAAATGTCCCTGCACCTTAACCCAGAAATTTATCCTATGGCCATTATCTCTGTGTGCATAGGCAGTTATTTATAATAATAATAAATTTATTTTCAAAATAAAATTTGAAAACTAAAAGAAAACACCGATTCAAGAAAATGTTTACAATATGATATAAAAATTAAAAAGCAGATTAAAAGTTATGGCATGAAAAGGTCTAATGGAAAGACATGTACAAAAACAATCCATACTTCTGTGTGGTGAATTTATAAACAGATTTTACTTCTTTATTCCTTTCTTTATATTCTATATTCACATATATTATTTTTGCAGGAGAAAAATATCACTTTTAAAAAATATTAGGTCATCATACAAAAATGTGACTGTATTTAAATGCTGTAGAATTGTACTTGCAAAATGTTTAAAGTGACAAAAAGAAAAAATAAACAAGTTTGCCAATTCATATGTTGCCTTCCTAGAACTGAGCCTTCCAAGGTAAGGAGGGTTATCATTCAACTGTTTTCTTTTGGCAAATATTTATTTTTAAACATAATCTATATGCTTTATAGGTAAGGGGTCAGTTCACAGTATGTGTTTATATTGACAAAAGCACTATGTAAAATCAGCAATTACTATGTAGATAAAATTTTACTCTATTGAGATAGGTGTGTCTTCTGATATATAAAATAAATCCTTGCTATCAAGAATCTTACAAGGTTATAACTCAGTAATGTAATTTCCAAAGTCTGACAAATAACGAAAGAAAGCAATAGGCAACTTTTCATGGGTATTAAAGAGAGCTCAGATTTTGTTGGGAGATCCAAGCATGAACAAATAGATGATGGTGTTTTGCATAGACTGGGAGATGGGAGGTACAGGTTGCAGAATAGAGAAATCCAGGTACAGTTATGTAAGACTTGAGGAATCATGCAACAAAGGTGGGGTTTGGTTCTACTCTCTAATGCTCAGGCTTTGATGGAATCCGGGCTTTATTGAAATTAATGTGACTGTAGACTGTAGGATGCATTGAAGAAGAGTGAAATGAAAACTAAAGCACATCTTGTGAGGTTGCTGCATTATCCATAGAAGTCTGAATAGCACTGACCATGTAAAAGCATAAGAGATAGGACATTTTAAAGGATCTTACTAGAGAAATTGGCAATTAACTAGATATAGAGTCAATATGGGGAATAGGAGGGATATCAGAAGGTGTTCTGTGAATAATGGCCAGTGATGAGTCAAAATTTCAAAATCTAGATATCACTAAAATCACTGTATAGATTTAAGCAGAAATTACCTTAGTAGTGTAGTCCCACTCTTTTTGTTTTTACAATCTGCCATGTAATTAATCCCTGAGAGAAATCAGGGTCTACCTGAGGTCACATACTCATTCATTGTAAGTAAGGAACTTGAAAAAGTTTTTCCATCAGTTCTTTGAATTTTTTTCATCCCTTATTTTGCATGTTAATTTTCTTATGAATCTTTAAAATTAAACCAGTGTTTTTGTGTTTCCCAGAATAGTTTGCTTCAGAAAACTGAATTGATACTTTATTTTATATTTGTTTTCAAAATTTATATTGTAATGGATGCTTAAATAGTTACCATGAAAATAATATGTGAACATCTTATAACACCTTAGGATTATCTACGTGCTTTTGTATGCATCATTCAATTAAATCTTTGTGATTTATTTCTGGTGAGATAAGCCTTATGTAAAAGTTATAATAAGAAGATTACTTCAAACTGAGCTAGGAATCTAGAACTTGAACTCAAGTCTTCTGACTCCCAATCAAGAATCACTTCTACTTTCAGAATTATACATGTATACATGTATGTATGCATATATATGTGTGTATATATATATGTATGTATATATGTATATGTATTTAAACTTTCCTGGAAAGGATATGTGCAAATATTTTTGTCTTTATATGCTGTACAGTCTTTGCTGAAATATTCATTTCTAATAATGCAATGCCAAAGGAAATATAGACAATATGGTAGAGGAATGTTTGCAATAAAACTTTACTTACAAAAAGAAGTTGCAGACAGAATTTGCTCATGGGCTATGGTTTACTGATATCTGATCAGATAAGATAAGATCAGATAAGATCTCTCTGAGTCTTATTTCTGAGGAAAATTCTGTAGTCAATCTAGAGAGTTTATTAGATTTGTCTAGGTTTCTTCTCACAGTAATCCAGTAATCTATTTTACCTTGCTATTTTTGATTCTGATATCTTTGTCTAAAGAACCATTGAATATCAATCTCATTAGCAAGGTTTGTATCTTCCCTTCTTCAGTTCTGTAAGGTGTAAATGAATGTTCTTCTAATTGGCCTTTTTATGATAGAATTTGCTTAGATAGTCAATTTAATTGTGCTGACAAAAGTTCATTGTTGTATCTTTCTCTGGAGACTTGGAGACATCCAGTCCTTAGAGCTGTTGATCTGCCTTCCTTCAAGATTCCTTACTGTGCTGCCTTGTCAAACACAGTGTTTAATAAGCAAGGTCTTCTGCAACTGTATCACTTTAACTTTGCAACTGAGACTCCTAACAGATCAAAGAAATCTGAGAATTGTTCCCTTCCTTCTCCCTCCATCTCATGATTAATTTTAAAGTAATACTAATATTAACCATCAGAAATGTTTATTATAATTATATTATGTAGTGTTCATTTCATCATTCTTTGAAAGATGCAATAAATTTACATAAAATAGCATCACAGAAAACAACCCAATATTTTCCAAGTGCTTTTGATTTGTAATTCAAGTATGAATTTTGCTAGCAACATTAGTCAAAGGCCAGAAGTTTACTTCTATAGCCAGAGTCCTAAGATTTGATTTTAGAAAACCTATCTTTATTAGATTTTCTTCTTCTAAAGGACTCTGTGTTTTATATTAGAATCAGGCTGGTTTTGTTCCTCCACGGTGTTTTCCACTTAAGCTAGAAGATTAAAAACAAGATAGGAGACTTTTCTGCTCAGAATGATCCCTATTCAACTGCACGTGGTGTATTCTAAAACTTCAAATATTAACTGTTTGTTAGAAGTCTAACCACATTGTTTTCAATTTCGGGTAAAATTTGATGATGTGCATATTTATAATTTTTATGATTTTTCCACATCCAGAAGGAAATTGAAACTATTTGCACAATATTGAGTTTATGAGAGAAGCCACCAAATATTTCCTGGTGTCCCTTTTGCCTGTGTATTTTAGTTTTGCTGTCTCTGCTATAAATAAGTTCATATATGACCATATAGAATTGAAACTTTGGTGGCTGTTATGCAGAATGAAGCTTATTATCAGGCAGTGGTGCTATTCCCCATTTGTACAAGGCTTAAACTAAACACAAAGTTAAGTGAAAATGCCAGAAATAATTTTGCAAGCAATATCCTAAGAAAAATCTGATGTTACATTGGAAGAACAAATGTTTTGGGAACTTGATAATAAAATAATTTACAAAATAAAGCAACTTGATAATGAAGTGTTGAGGATTATTGACAAAGAAAGGAAAAAAAATGATCAAGATTTTGCCATTGGATAGTTGGGACAGTTCTGTAGAGAGCTTTTGAAAATATTTGGAATAATAAAATTGAGTGAAGGAAAAGAAAAATAAGGGAAAAAGAAAAAGCACAAATGAAGATGGAAATAGGTCATCACATGCTATAATTTTTTAATGTAGATCTATTTTCTTATCTTTGTAGGATTTCATCTCTTAGTAGTCAAAAAGTACATGCTAATCTTTGTGGACAGTTGAGACCAACTTTGCTGTACAATGCTATCAAAAATCACTGTGGTACCTAGATATAAGATGCCATGGGAAATATTTGTGATGATACTGTATCTTCATTCTGGGAAGGCATTAGCAAGTTGAAGATTGATTTTCCATAGTTAGTACTTACTTTTCTCAAGAAAGGGGAAACACACTTATTTTTTAGCACAGAATTGCAAGACTTTTCTGGAATATGGATTCAGGATTATTGATTAGTTTTTCTTTCTTTTTTGGTTATTCCTTTAGAGTTCTTTTATTCAATTTTTGAATTTTCACAAAAAAGATTCTTTGACTACTGTTGCACACTATAGTTTTATAGTTGAAACATTTCAAATATTTATAATCAATTGCTTTGGGTCAAAGTCTGATTCAATTTCTGGAATAAAGAACAGGTTCATTACCAACCTCAAACATCTTAGATGTTTCCAACAGAATAGAGTTAGAATGAGTTTTTTAATATACAAATGATTTACAAATGAATGTTACTTCATAAAAGTGCTTTTCTTACTTTAGTTTGCTCTGCTTTTGGTACAATAGAGTAAAAAAGAATTATTACAAAGTGGTGTCTTTTTATAAAACAATGAGAAAATGATCTTTCCTACAATTGTTCTTGAATTATCTTACAAAAAACAGCATCGTTCCATAACAAAGTACAGAATAAAGGGTCATATCCAAGTCCTTCTAACTTGAAAGGTCTTTGAGTCTATATTCCTGGATTTAGAGAAGAATAATGACATCTGCCTTTGATTAGAGTTAGAGAAATGAATGCAATTCCTTTAGCTTTATTTAAACATTTCAACATACACAATGATATTATGTTCTGGGAATATGGCACATGGTGGTTATTTTTAACATAATTATAGATGTTTGACTATTTGTCTTTGAAATAAATTATTAAAAGGAAGGCATTCATGGAAAAGCTGAATTTCTCCATGGTTTAAATCATGTTTATGTTGGGAAAATTCAAAATAAACTATTTGTAAAAAGGTTTCTGTTTGTTTTAGAATGTTCAAACTAAATTTACAGAAACATTGGTTTAATTGCAAAAATGTTGAATTTGTTCCAACTATTAACATTGTACTTCTACTGATATTATTAAATATTTATGAGAATGAGAAAATGTGGTTTTGAGATGTTTAAGAAAAATTATGAAGGTGATTGAATTTAGGAAAAAGAATTAGCTGTGAATCTATTTTCACTCTTGCTTTGGTTTCCTTACTTCTAGGAATTAAATCACTGTGCATACTTACAATCAACTTCCTTTCTGTTCTGTTGGTCTGTATTTCACAGATTGTCTTGAATTTCACCACAATGGACCTATACAAGAGTAGTTTGTGCTGGTATGACTACATTGAAGTAAGGGATGGATACTGGAGGAAGTCACCTCTCCTTGGTAAGAGATTTTTTCCTATCTCCTACGTGGGTGTGCATGTACTCTGTTTTGGGTAGAGCCAACTGGCTTTTTCAAGAGTTGTTTTACAGTTTAAAAGTGTGTGTGGTCAACGTCATTTTTATTTCTATTATACTTTTTTCAAGCAACAGCAAAAATATTCAAGGAAAAATAAATAGGATGATTGACTTAAAGTAGCTTAAATGGAAGATAAATACTTGAATCTGAACACAATTGACTATAGCATTCTTATGTATTACACTCATCATGACAACTCCTCACACTGTTGTCATTTTCAATTAATAATTATAGTCTTGATTTTTAAAAAAGAAGACAAGTTACATGTGTATATGTTGTTTGTGCATGTGTTTTCTATCTGCTAAGTCAGTAGAGTGTAAACTGTCAAGTGTATATTTGATAGCTGCCATCCTAGGCCAGTATGTTTGCTATTATGATAGACCTCACAGTTTTGGTGCTGAGAGAGAGAGAGAGAGAGAAAGAGAGAGAGAAGAGTCACTTTTAGTTTATGTCATTGATTGACTGTAGCTCAGATTTGGTGTTCACAAAATCTGCTGCCAGCGTTTAACCACGGCCCACACTAGTAACTTGCAAGAGGTAGTTTATTGTTGCCCTCTGTTTTACTTAGAGATGAAAGCATCTCCTTAATATTGATTTTGTTTTGAGATTTTGACTTTTCCTTTATTTTTAGAAGTAGCTTTGCTCAGTTGAGTTTTTGAACTATACAGATCTTTTTTCTTTACATCAAAAGTCAGCTGAAACACTGTCTTCCACATTAAGTTTTTTAGCCTAGATGAATGTTATAAATATAAGTGGATTCCAAAGAAAACATATCATTAAACTCATATTGGAGAATCATCTACAGCTAAAATTCAAGAAAACACTTCTTTTCAGAGCCCTTCTGCTTTGTGCACTCCAGTGTAAAATTATCTACCAGACATGCTCTGAGGGATATGGTTTCATGTGTAAAGCTTTCCCACTATTTCTTGTCCAGAAAGTGCAGCACTTCTGTTGATAACATTGGAAAGATGTTAGAACTGTACACACCTAAGTCCCACTCCACACCTCTGAATTACAGACAGCATTCTTGACAGATTGCTTGACAGTTCACCTCCACATGACATGCCTCTAGTCTCTAGTCTAGGTTGTGATTTAGGAAGCAATTTCTTCACTCATTAACTATTAACATGAATTTTCTTTATTCAAGCTGAGTACCATTTTTCATACATTAAAATTGTGCATGATGTCATTTTCAGCAACTCACAAAATGGATAACAATGTAATATGTTTATAAAATGAGCTCATGTGCTTTGTCATGTTTAACCACTTACTCATCATGTGAAAACATCTAGACCAGAAACATTCCATAAGCCTTTGTAGAAGGATAGGGGAAGAAGGGAAGGAACAATAGGTATTATTCATTTTCTCTTCTACTTACCAATAGGTACACAATTAGAGAAGAATCAGGGCTGGGGATGTAGTTTAGTAGTTGAATGTTTGCCTAGCATACATGAGGCTCTGGGTTCGATCCCTAGTACCACAAAAAAAAAATCAGAATTTAGACTCGAGGCTTCTGGCACTGTTCATTATTCTGCCAATATGGAGTGTGGCATAGATGCGAGTATGGAGTATGAATTGATAAGAGTGTGGAAAATAATACAAAATAATATAAGAGACTTGGAGTGTCCTACAGGTTTTCCTGAGGACTCATTGAACCTGACTAGAAGATGACTAGAAGTCCTCTTTGTGCTGGGCACACGTTCTGCTCTCCTACTAATGATTGACTATTTGAGCCAGGTTTTATGAGGTGACTTGCACCTTTTTCTGTTTCCTGCACACTCATATTCCCTACCTTGATGCATCCTGTGACTTTTAAGGAATATCTTTTTTTTTTTTTAGCTAACTTAGTCCTAAATATGATAATGACACCAATCTCAGTTGGTCAGTACTTTATAAGTAGATGTGAAGAGATTGTTTTATTTATTTACTTTTTATTTAAGGCACATTTAATGACTGTAATCATGAGGGATAGAAATATGAGCCAAACCAGGATATATATGGATACATACTAGCTAGCATAGACTGCAAGTAGAATATAGAATCATATTTAGGAATCTTTATTTTTTTATTTCTTTTAGGTAGATTCTGTGGGGACAAAGTGCCTGAAGTTCTTGCTTCTACCGATAGCAGAATGTGGATTGAGTTTCGTAGCAGCAGTAATTGGGTTGGAAAAGGGTTTGCAGCTGTCTATGAAGGCAAGTCACATTCAATTTAAGAGATCAATTCATCTTAGACCTCTTAATAGCAATGTCCTTTCTTTCAGCTTCATTAGAATGATATTGAAACCATATTTTTACAATTATAAAAATTTCAGAATCTTTATTTTAACATTCACAGGATGATTTTAATGAAAATACTCTGTAAATTTAAATGGCAAGAATAACTTATGTGGGGGGATCACCAATATAGTAACAATGAAATGTGCTCAGGGATGTGTGGGAAAAGAAACAAATGATACAAGAGTTCTTAAAGTTAATTATTGGTTTCATGATACTTCTAAAATAATATGAAGAAATAATCATTTTCCTTTTTCTATATGTATTTGGTGCCTGCATTACTGAAATACTCTATTATAGGAAACTGCACAAAAAGTAATTGTGCACATTTCTGAAGCTTGCTTTGTCTAAATACAAAAGTCAGCATTTAAGGCAGAATTTATTGCATGCTTTGTTCTTCTCCAAAACAATAAACCGGCATTGTGCTTCCTGGCTTGAAAACCAGCTCCTTTCTTGCCAGACAGTGGGCGGAGGAGCTTTTCTACTGCAGGAGTTTAGGTAATTTCCAAGACAGAAGATTTCAGCTTCCCTTAAACTTTTAAGTAAATGGAAGCATTTTATTTTAAAGATTTACCACATGGCAGGGAAGAGATTTTTTGGATGGAGCCACATATGTTGAGCACATGGTACTAGCTACTGCCAGAGGCCCAGTGAGTTCCACTCGGGGCGAGACTTCTTTGCTGATGAGCTCTTTTACCTGCAGTCAAAAGACCAAAGGACGGTGGCCAGGGAATCACAGAACAAATTCACAGAGAATAGATTTATAAAACCTCTAAAGACATTTCAAAATGTAAAAACAAATACTTTGGTTGTTAAAATGTGACATCACAGTGATCAAAAATTATATATCCTTAGCTGACCATTATCTAAGGTTTGTGGCTAAATGTTGATGTTTCACCCTTTAAATCTTTACATTAGTCCAAATGACTATCTGAATTTTTGTTTAGTTACTTGGTCTTTATGTTCTTAGTTACAAAAACTGAACTTAGGTATCACCTTAGAATAAAATGAAAATTAAATGGCATGTATTAAGTTCATGTCTTTGTTTACTTTTGCTTTCTTCAGCGATCTGTGGAGGTGAGATACGGAAAAATGAAGGACAGATTCAGTCTCCTAATTATCCTGATGACTATCGGCCCATGAAGGAGTGTGTGTGGAAAATAACCGTGTCTGAGGGCTACCATGTCGGACTGACCTTTCAGGCCTTTGAGGTAAAGTCTTTTAGGAAACTTTTGAGAGGCATATTCTCCATAAATGACAGTGGTGTTTAAGGAACTCCTCATTAAATCACCACAGAAACAGAGAATCCGGCTTTTAATCAGTGAAGAAGCAGAGGACCTCCTATAAAATGTAACATCAAGAGAGAAAGGTTGTTTCTTTCCTTTTCTTGCAGACATTTTCAAGAAGATTAAAGTGAGTTTACATTAACTGTGCTATTTGAATTAGATGTTTGAAGTGCTTACAATAGTTTTTGGGTTTTTTTTTGACAAATGCATGGGCTTTTCCCACAAATCCACTTGGAGGGTCCATTAAGTAATAGAACTTTCATTTCTCTTTTAAGAGGTTAAAAGGTAGACAGTCTCTTTTTGTTAGGAGAAAAACCCATTTTTCTTTCTTTGCCTTTTTCTTTTTTTTAGACAACTGTTCAGATAACTGTTTTTATTGAACATAAGAATTCAAGCATTCTCAGGACCTTTCAGCTTCATCAAACATATTTGTCAGGATATCAGGAGCATTGTTGTGTTAAGTGAAGTGCTAGAATCACCCAAAACCAACTGGAATTCTGGATCAAAGTATGGGTCCCAAACTACAAAGACCAAGCTGGTTAATGTATTTTTTTTTTTTTGAAGGACAAGAGGAACTGAGAAAGAGATTAGAAGCCAGGAAGTGGGGGATTTTTTCAGGGACTCAAGAGTATGTTGAAATCAAGGACTTGTCCACAAATTGAGAGCCCAAGGTGAAATGGGAAGGAACAATGCGGAGGGTGGAGGTGGGTCCAGGTAGGTGTTAGAAATATGGCTGTCGTGATCATAGAGTATTTCTCCACTGATTAGAAATTCAAGTCACTGTCCAGGCCATCACAGGGAGGGAATATGTGACCCCCCATCCATCCACTGGCCGGGTGTACTTGGCCCTGAGTACACTGACTTATGGTCATGTCTTTGTCCCCTCAGCAGGAGCAGCAGGGGAATCCAGGTGTTTTCTATAAAGACAGAAAACCTCACATGTCTCCTATAGGCCTGTGTCTCATATTTCTTTTGTACATGTCTCTTCCCTCCTCCATGCACATTTCCTTTCATTGTAAAAAAAAATTATGTTTTGACCATGATGCTGTATTTTATGTTTCTGACCACTTCGTAATTTTAGAATTTTGACAGGATTTGATCCGCATTTGAATTTGTTACTGGAATGAACCAACAGCAACTCTGTAATTTGGTCTTAGGCCTTTTGCTACTCTTTTTATGTCTGTCCCTCTGGTCTTTTTTCTCTTCCTCAAAAACAACAAGCTCCCTCCCACATCACAGCTTTAACTACCTCTAAATCCTTGCTGTTAACCCTTCTCTCACTTCATTTGAATCATTACTTATCTATTTTAAAAGTACTCACTTGACAGCTCTATTTAAAATCTTCTCTTACCTACAGTTATTCCTATACCATTATTCTGTTTTAGTTTAGTTCATTGTACCTATGACTACTGGAACTTATGGCTTAGCTCTTCTGTGCATTTATATACTTATCTATCTCTCACCAAAATATGATCACCAAAGAGTAGAGATTTTACCCATCTCAGTGATCACTATATCTCTAGCACTAATTATTCCATGATTAATATTTGATAATGGAAAGGACAGATGTATGTATGTAAATAAATATTTGAGTAGTTGAAAGTTTGGTGGTTGAAAATTAATATATCCTTTCTTTATTAAGGGTGTGTAAGTTTCCATGCAGCAAGAAACAAGACTAGATAGGTAAAATTAGGTTGATATAATGGAGGACCTGGTGTGCTCTGTGGCTGAATTTAGACTAAAGATTCTGAGTTCTAAGATATTCAGCAGTGACAAAGATTTAGGAAATCCCAATATACCATCTAAATCTTCTGATAAGGAAACTGGGCTTATAACATTAAATGGTGAACCAGCATTAAAATATAGGTACAGTTGATCCTGTTTTATTTGCAAATTCGCCTTCTCAGCAAAATTTATATAATCCAAAAATAAATATTCATAATGCCTTTTGGATCATTTACAGACATGTGAAGAGCTCCTAATGTGCACAATACCAGCTCTGATGTGCCTTACTAGGAGAATGTGAGTTAGATAAACTCACTAGGCATGAGTCATAGCGTTGTTGGCTGTGAGTTCAGTGTTAATGAATTGATAATATAGATTAAGGTGACTTTAAATAGAAGCACACTTAAAACAAAGTTATGCTTTGATGGGTTGATAAAGAATTTTGTAGCTAGAATCTCACAGGAGCCTAACACTGCATTTGTCTAGGAGCAATGAACAGTATTTGCTAATTCAATGTTCTCAGAGACTTTATAGAATGTAAGTAACTAGGGCAATGTGAATATTAAAAAATCAACGTTATTTTCTTAATTGTTCTAGTACTCATTAGATGGTTTATTTAATTTTGTCATCTATCTGTATCAATTTATTTTAATTTACATACTATGTTTTCAACATGTAATTATACTTTTTATGTTGAAAATACATAATTAAAGAAAATGAACTCACAAATTCTTTTTTTGTTGTTTTTTTCCAACAAAGCACAGTTTTATCATTTAGCTCAGTCTTTACCATTTTTCAAAAACTGTTTCTAGTTCTGTATTTTTATTTTCTATCTTATTGTATGGTCCTTTAGATAAAAGAGCCATGAAGATAAACTTGTCTATCATTCTGTTGAAATCTATTATAAAGAACTTATTAGCTGTCCATCATTTATACCTTTCTGTAAATTTGTTACAGTTTTGGCTTTTCCAGTACTAATCAGATTTTGATGTAAGTACAGAAAGAAAGCCTAAGTGAATTTCAGGCATCTTTGAACAGGAAATGGAAACTATCTGGAGGGACCAAATTATCATACTATTTGGAAAGTGGTCTGACTGTTTGTGTGCCTTCAAAATTCATCTGTAGAGATCCTGTCCTTCAAAGTGATGGTATTAGGAAGTAGGGCAATTAGAAAGTGACTAGGTCATAAGGATGGAGCCCTCATGAGTGGGATTAGTGTGCTTGTGAAAAAAACCAACAGAGCTTCTTTCATGGGAGAACACAATGAGAAGGCACCATGCACAGAAAGGGCCCTCAACAGATGCTGGATCTGACAACGAACTTCTTATCCTCCAGGACTGCTGGGAGAAATAGGTTTCTGTTGTTATAAGCCACCAGGTCTATGATAGTTTCTTATGGCATCTTGAACAGACCAAGTGAGGAAGCTTTCTCTTCTCCTACTGACTGCATTGTTTCTTAAAGCTGATATAATCAAGTAAGTTTGTGTGGTAACATTGATCACCTCTGAACTTAATTTGAAATGCTGATACTCTGTTCACCAGCAGAACTGTCTGTAAAGAAGCCTCTAGTACTATTTTGTTTTAGAATTTTCAGTATGCTGCAATACAGAATAGAAAAAGTTTGGGAGACTGAAAATGTTTACATGAACAACTTCAAAGAAATGTCAATAAAACAGAAAAAAAAGTTAAATAAACCTAGAGCCTACTTTTGTTTAAATTGAAATCCTCACATACATTAATTTAAGAGGGATTAAGTTTGAGGTACTTGTCAACATCACTGCACATTCTGACTCGATGACATTTTCCTTTTGAAAGCCAGAGATACTTAATAGTATTAACTGTCTTTGCTGTAAGTTTTAACATTGTAAACTGTGTACATGTTTTTATCTTGGTGAATTGCCTGGCTAAAAGCAGTTCTTTCATTCCTTTGAATATTTTTTATTAGCTTACAATAAGTAGTCTTTGTGAATGAATTAAGAGACCAAACTATGGAGGTCTTAATTCATTAAAATTTTTCTGCTTGACATGTACTATTTTTGGGGTGTTCAGCTAATAATATATATTGGTTAGTGACTATAAAAGGTAAGAGTGAATTAGCTCTACTCTACATGAGTTACATGTTAGGCTACAATTGTACTCTGAAAGGTTAGCACTTGTTGGTTTAAACTTGACCAAGATCACATAATTGTGCACAGCCCTGTGTCTGTGCATTTGTGTCACTGAGTCATGGTAGGAAAGAGTAACATTTGTGGTCTTTCATCACATTCAATGCCGTCCCTTCATAACTATCTTCATTTGTACGTTGGTATTGTCCAATCATGTCAGTCAGTCAGGGAAATGTCTCTCATGCCTCTTTCTCTCTTTTTTGGTGGTACTACAGCTTGAACTCAGGGGCTCCTGAGTTTTAGGCAAGTGCTCTACCACTTAAGCCATTTTTGTTTTAGTTAATTTTTGGGTAGCATCTCATGCTTTTCACTCAGGGCTGGCATTGGACTGGAATCCTCCTCTGTATGCTTCCCAAGTAGCTGGGATTATAAACTTGCACCACTATACCTGACCAACATGTCTGTTTTATTCCTTGATGTCGCACACTATCACGTACATACTATATGGCTAGAGAGTTTTCAATGAAATTTTTAAATTCATGAGTAGCAATTCTTGTGTGATGAAGGAAAATAATGATCTGGCAGTATTTAAGTAAAGGATTCGCATGAAAATAAACCTAACCAAGAGCCATGCTGTTGCTTTTAACATGTTCGAATATATTTTTTCTCCTCCCTTCTCCTTAGTTGTAATTATGTGTTAATAATAATTCAATATTAAATGCTACTACTAATAATGTTAGTAATTAAATTAATAGTAGTTTAAAATATTTGGATATTAAGTCTTTTCCTCTCTTCCCAAATTCCACTTGTTGATAGCATTATTTCTTGGAATTTATCAGGTTTTTTCACTATTAAAAATGATTTAAGTGGAGCATGGTGGCTCATTCCTATAATCCCAGTTTCTCAGGTGCAGAAATAAGGAAGATTGCAATTTGAGGTTAACCCCAGTAAAAAGTTTGAAAGACCCTATTTCAGCCAATAAAAAGCTGGCATTCATCACAATCATTTTTAAGTACATTTCACATTGTTGTGAAACCAATCTCTAGAACATTTTTTCATCGTGTAAAGCTGAAATTCAATATGTACCACATGATAACTTCCCATTCCTCTGTCTCCCTACTCCCCAGCAACAGCAATTTTTTCCTGTCTAGAAATTCGTCTAGTCTACTTATGTCTTACAAGCATGTGGTCTTTACCTCTCTGTGACCAGGTTATTTCACTTAGTATAACGTCCTCAAGTTTCATCAACATTTTATTATATACCAACATTTCTTTCCTTTCTGAAACTGAATAATATTTCATTGTATGTTTGTATCTTGTTTTGTTTATCTAGTCATCTATTGATAAGAACGTGAGTAGCTCCTCTCTTTTGATCTTTTGTCTATTGTGATTCACACTGCTCTGAGCATATAAGCCCCTTCCTCCAGGGCTGGATTTCTTTCAGTGGTAGAGCTCACTTGCAAGTAGTGACCATGAACCTCTGGACAGGTTGGTAGTTTTAGAATTATAGGCTGACCACTTTTGACCAAATTTAATTTATTTTAGTTCTTGCTAAGTAAAAGTCACTCATCTTTTCCATAGTTCCTCCCTAAACAGTTATTAAAAGTATGGGCCTCCACTTAGCAATGAAATGTAATAGTAATCCCTTCCGGCTTATCTTTGTACTTGTTATTCCTTCTTTGTGTATTTGGGTCTACTTCCAGTATCATTTAAATATCAATTTTCTGAAAAATGTTCATTGCTTACCATTGCTTCCACTCTATGTACATATTAGGACTGTTTATATTATGATACACTTGCCACATTCATATATGGTTTATGCTCTGGTTACCTTAAAGTCTGTAATAAGTCAGCATCATTATTATCAAAACATATTCATTATATGTGCAATTATGCATGACATTCTATCCAGCTCCCAGTTCTTTGAACTGCGTCTATGTTTTAACTCAAGAGGAAACTGCTTTTTATTTCTCTTCTTTTAGTTCTTTTTTTTTTTACTTTGTTGTTCTTTTTTTCATGGAGTTTAAAGTTATTGGCGTAACATCAAAATGAATTTTATTTACTTTAAAAAGTTGAAATTTAAATTTCAACCATGGTCATTTCTATCCATTTCATATATTAATTAATGAACCAATCTGAAATAGCTGGAGAAATGTTGCCCAACTGACATAAATAAAATAACCAACACTTTTATGTGTGCTCACTGTCTTTACTCCCAAATGGATATACTTGGTGAAGTATAATTGTAAGTGAGAGCAGTTCGAGCAGATTCATTGTGCACCATGACACTTGAGATTAAACTGGAAAGGTCCGTAAACAGCACCTCTGATAAGATGTCTAGGATTGTGTCATAAAGGTATAATACATTTTGAATATTGTAAATTCACATGCATGTGTCATACTTCCTTTTATCTATAACTCAATAACTGTGGAATATACTATGTGAGAATGCTGTGTATGTTTCTATTGTGCTATACCCCAATAGTTGGTACATATTGTAGAAATATTACTTAATCCATAAATAGGAACTAATTGAATTAAAATTAGTCATTTTACCCATAAAATGTTTACACTTTGTGTATCTTATATGTTTAAACCTCCAATTTTAACCAACTAACCAGTCAATACACTGTAAATTAAAATTTGAAGTGATTTATTATAATCAGTTCAAAGAACAGAGTATGTTCTATGAACAGGACAATGCTAATTCTCTTATTTTTTTTTAGTCACTGAAGAAATTAAAAATTTTTTGGTTTCATTTTCAATAGTGTCTGTCATGTTTTCTTTCTTGTTATAATTTTTAGAAGCAGTCATCTCCTTAAAAATAGTAATTGAAAACCCTTTGTCAATAACCTAACTATAAAATGCAATTTAATGTTTACTAATGGAAAGTCTACTGTAAAAGATTTGTGTCCTCTTAATTTCTTTTCTTGTCTGTCTCATTCTTACCCTGCTTTTAATATGATAATGAATCAGGATTAGCAAATTATTTGTTTCTTTAGTAGTTTGGATTGTAAAGACTTTTGACTCTTTTTCCTTACATTTTTGTCACTAGTTCAGTGTTGATTTCTGTTTTAGGAAAAAAATATAGATTTATGAATCATGCTGAATAAAACCCTACCTGAGGCATCATTTAAAATTAACAACCTTTAGTCTCCTCAGTTCCACTACTCATACTTCTTACTTTGTTTCACTTTATATTTTTCATGGTATTTATTACTTTCTAATGTTTTATGGTTTAATTACTTATCTTGCTTATTGTTCCTTTTCTGTCTATACATCAGTAGAATGTAAACTCCAGAGGATAAACTTCTTTGCTATTTTCTCAGTGGTTTAAACCAAATACCGAGAAGACTGTTTAGCTGAGAGTAGGCACTGAATATATTTGTTGCAGGAAGAATGGATTCTGTTTTGTGATTAGGGAAAAAGAAACAGCAAGTGTAGTACTTGCTTCTGCAACTAAGTATGTGCTTCTAAGTATTTTTTTTTCTGGTTGTCCTTATGGTACCTCATTTGAAGTCTATCACTGCTAATGTATTGATAGATCAGGAAAGGTAGTCTTTAACCAGTTATCAGCAGTTTCCTGCATTCAGATTGTAGTTCCATGGAATAAGAATATTTTCTGATATTAACTTTGTACCTGGAGAATAACATAAATTAGTGAATTAAATGTTGGTCAATATTTGACAAGGTATAATACTTTTCATGATTTTTGAAGTGTAGATGTCTTCCTTTTCTAGCTTCAAATATCTAATAAAAAGTTGACTGTATTTAAACATCAGGGATAATGATCAATTTCTGTGAAAAAATTAAAAGCAGGAAGTTTATTCAGAATTTGCCTTACAGTTTGTGTAGCAATTTATAAATTTTTATTCTGTTGATTTTAGAAGTTTAGGAACAAAACAGGTCTATGAAATGAGTTCTCCATAAAGACGATAGGCCAATTGTCTGACCTATCATTTGCATTTAGTCATTAAGTAAAGAGATTGAGTTCACCCAGGTTACAGAGGTCAGAAGGAGTGTGTCAAGTTGAAAGAGCTCATATGATCAAGACCATGTTATCTTGAGGAAAAAAAGGCCAGTACTGATTCTCTGACTAGTCTTTCTATGTCCAGTCACACTAATTATGGATAAAGAGTCTTGTAAAATAGAAAGAACTGTCATTCCATATTATCAGATTTTCATTCCAGTATTGGATTTATAACCTAAAATAGTGCTGTGCTCATCAACAGAATTAAATTGCAACTTCTCTGAGTAAAATAATGGTTTTGTTGACAAATCATGAGCCATTTTTTATTATGGTTCTCAGCAAATTATACATTGCTGATAGCACATCTAGCCCAGATTTTTCATGATAATTGTAAGTCTAGATTTTATTCAGTGCCGTTTACTGAAGAGCCACTATTCGTAGGTTAAATTTCTTTTAGAAGGCAGTTAACTGTTATTGATACTGACCCACCTGGATGCACTGTTTCACAGACTAAAGTCCTTTGTTCATGTTTAGTAGAGGTATCACCAGCTATACTCTTAAGAAACATTCATTTGATATGAATAATTTTTATATCAATAAGTCAGTACTACAACACTGAGAATACCTGATAACCTTTCTATAGAAATCACTTCATCTATTAATGAGATGCATGTTCACATCCCTTGTGGTAGATTGAAAGACACGACAACTGTGCCTATGACTACCTAGAAGTTCGAGATGGAACCAGTGAAAATAGTCCTTTGATAGGACGTTTCTGTGGTTATGATAAACCTGAAGACATAAGATCTACCTCCAACACTTTGTGGATGAAGTTCGTTTCTGATGGAACTGTGAACAAGGCAGGGTTTGCTGCTAACTTTTTTAAAGGTAATTTTCAGGAATTCACAAATGTGAGATTTTCTTTGTTAGTATTAAATGTGTTACTTAGTTATAAGTTGCAAGAAAACTAGGTTGAAGTTGTATTGAAAGTTGAATTATACACAGTTCTGAGGATATTTTGGTAAGTTGGGATGGGAATGCTTATTAGTAAAATACGAGAGTTTGAACTCTTGGGGCAGGGACTCAGCTAAGACACTTTACCATCTGTTTTTTTGTGAAATAGTCAAAATAACAAAATCCAAAAGAGTTATACAGAGGAGAAGAGAATATTTGCAATACTCATAATCAGCAAAGTATTCACAACCAGAGGAGGTTTACTAATATCAGTTTATTGGTTTATTCCCAAGAACCTTCATTACTGAGAAATCCCTTACAAAATGGTGTTCCCCTACATTGAAAATAACTTATGGCTTCTTTAGCAGAATATTCAGATATCTGAAATGTCCTTTGACAAGGAATTATTGCTGATCAGCTTTAATTTTGAATTGCATAGCTACATTTTAATGTATTCTTATGTCCCATATGTAGTGTGCATTACTAAGGTAATATGAAAGGCATTTTAATGCAAATAATAACATCAAGTATACATTTAGGAAATTCATGGGCATTTATATTAAGTATATCATAGTGGAATAAAATTTTCTGTGAAAAGGAATAGGACATACGATAGAATATAGGATAAATGATTAATTCAATTTTTGTATGTGATAGATATCTAAATATTTTCATTATTTAAAGAAAATGGTATAGTAGATTTTTTCTGAGAGTTGTGTAGGTATAAACTGTATGAATTGAAAGACAGAGAAACTTGGCACTTTAACTATAGGAATTCACATTCTTGACACATTTAAAAGTTTCTGTAGTGTCATATTTTGTAATAGCAGAAACATTTCTGCAGAGATTACTATTTGCCTAATTCAAGTTCATTTTTTTTCTGAAAGATGAGATTATGGGTTACCCTGTCATATACATTTTTAAATAGTATATATTTTTTATATTTCCATATGCAATGAAAATAGTATATATTCTTATAACATATTATTATATGTTCTATATAAGAAACACTGAATGTTTTAAATTTAAAGAGGTCCAGTTGATTTCTGAGTTTTAGATTTTTAAAAATTTACATTCACCACAATCTGTTTCTTAATAAAGATATTTCTTTAAAGTTATTTTGTTGTGCTGGGGATTGAACTCAGGACTTCATACATGCTCAGCATGTACTCCATCACTGAGCTATATCTCCAGTTTCTGAAAGCAATTTTTGAGATATATCTAGAAAACCACACTATGGAACGAGCAGGTGAAACTTTTTCATTAAGTTGTTCAATTTTATTCTCAAAAATCTCTAGGATTTAATAACCCCCATTTGAACTCAAATTTAAAAAAAAAAAATCCACTGTGTGTGAGATAGGTAATCTTTAATTGTTCCTGCCATCAGTTTCTAGTCTTTCCTTGGTTCTTCTACAATTCGTATGTTGCAGGAATTTGCATTCTTGTACTTCATCTAACTATCCATACATTGCTCCTGTTTCTTTGTTGAAGAAATGAGAAATGAACTGTCCATGTTTTACTCAGAGCCATTAAAAGCATCAGATTTTTTAGAAAAAATCTGCACCCTAATATATAAAGACAAAATACTCTAGTTGTTCTGTAACTATCACCATTGTTATAGAGGAAGATGAGTGTGCTAAGCCTGACCGAGGAGGCTGTGAGCAGCGCTGTCTGAACACCCTGGGCAGTTACCAATGTGCCTGCGAGCCTGGCTATGAGCTGGGGCCTGACAGGAGGAGCTGTGAAGGTAGGACTGGGCTGCAGTGGCTGCTCCCTGCTTGGAATCCTCTCTCTCACTCCTTTCATATATTCTCATTCTTTATCTCTCTCTCCTTCATTCACTTTCCCTTACAGTGACCTCTTTCCTCAACAACCAAGACTCAATGCATAATTACAGCTGATGTGTGTGAAACCTTGCCTGTCATCTTGCTAGAGAATCAGTCCTTCTTTCCTTTGGTTACTAGGCCACTATATATATATATATATATATATATATATATATATATAAATGTATTATTATCTATCCATTTCACCCATTCTTTCATACATCCATCCCTACCTCCACGCATGAATGCATGTATCCATCTAGCCCTCTCTCCCTTCATGCACAGATGCATGTATCCATCCATCCATCCATCCCTTTAGCTATCTATTCATGCTTCATATGTTTTACCTTTTTCTTAGCATGGTGTATGGATGCATCTCCCTTAATAAACTGAGCAGCCTGAGTCTGAAAAATCTTTGTATCTTAAGCATTTAGCACTGTCAGACATGCATGTTTTTATGAATAAAGGATTGATAAAAAAATATGTTCATCATGGTTATCTACATTTCTTCTTTGCATTCTATTGTTTTGTTACCAAGGCCTGCAACCTCTTCCTTCAGAATTTAAAGCTGTTTCTCATTTCTCCTCCTCCATCATATAATAGAACCCAAGCCTTCATTTACAGGCAGAAAATACTGGCAGATCTTTGTTTTTCCAGTCTAATTATCCTTTATTCCTCTTTTAAGATTTCTGCTAACTTTCATAGAACTTAAGAATATTTGTGTTTATGTATTTATTTATTTATTTTTGGGTTTTCTTACTAAAATATAAGTCCCCTGAAAATAAGCCCCTTCTTGGCTACTGTGACTATATCCGACAAGTGGCAAAGGTGGAAAAATTATTTGCTTAATGAACATATACCACACCCTTGCCAACTTAAACAAGGATTCACAGTGTCCCTATTTCTTCTCAAAAGCTTGAACTGTTTGACTTTCAAAATTTTCCAGTGTATCTATTAAACTATTAATTTTTTCTCAGTGCTAAAATTAAAGAGGTGTAGTTATGAAGAAAATGAAGCATTTTTATAGAGGAGGGCAATGTACATCAGATAATCATGAAGAAATGAATGATTAAGATGGTGATGTTGACTTTGCAGTGCTGGGGGTCAAACTCATGACCTCACACACACTAGGCAGACACTCTACCACTCCGTTACCCTCAATCCAACATCACTATTACTAACTATTTATATGCAGCTCCAAGAAATACATATTGTACTTCATAGTCATTTACCAAAAAAGTGCTAAAAGTGAATATGCCATTAGTGTTTTTGTATATTTATAAATATAGTGATACATATACACATATGAGTATATACATATTTACACAAAGGCAACTAAAGAGACCAGTTATTTAAAGTAACTTTTGAATTATATGTTCTCCCTCATATGTGAACTTTAGATCTAGGGCAAATGCAGCAATGTGGTTGGATTTAGATCACATGACAAGGGGAGAGCACATACGGGAGATACAGAAATAGGTAGAAAACCCAAAACATGAAAGCATTTGATGTCCCCACTCCAGAGGATCTAATGCAGAAACCTTAAAGTGACAGAGGTTATTATGAGAAGGGGATCAGGAACCAGTGTAAAGATCAGTTAGAGATGAATTAACATGGGTCATAACACATGGGTACATGAAAGCAATGCTAGGAATATTTCTGTATAGTTCTCCTCAACTCAACTAGCAAAAATGCTTTGTCTTCCTTATTAGGCTTGTGTCTTTTCTTCAACAAAATCAGTGATAAAGGCAGAACAGGACCTGCCTGGAACTGAGGGAAGGAGGGGGGGAGGGAAAGGGAGGGGGGTCAGGTGGGAGAAATGACCTAAACAGTGTATGCACATGTGAATAAATGAATAATTTTTTAAAAAGTAACTTTTGACTCCCTAGGGATTAGTTATGAACTATGATGTGTCCTTTTCAGTAAAGTTGCTTTTGGATACTGTGAATTTGTTAATTTCATTATGAAATAAGGAAGGTAAGAAATGCAAATAGAATCTTTTAAAAACAGATAGTTGAAAAGGGGATGAAACCAATTGTTAAATGGAGTGTTTTAGAATAAAATTCCATAATTTCTTTTGCCTGTCAGTTCAGGTAATACAATGTTTCTTGCTTGGGAAAAAAAGTTTGAAGAAATAAGCAAGTGATTTTGGTCTTATTGCATCAGACTTGTGGACTATCTATCTATCTATCTATCTATCTATCATCATCTATCTATATATCATCATCATCTATTTGTGATCACCTATCATCTATCTCTCTACCTATAACTTTTCCTTGACTCTTACAGCTTTATTAATTTTCACAAAAGCTTATTTTTCTCTTAATTATGTAGTAGCCAAGATACTATAGATATTATTATACCTAGTTAAATGATAAAGAAACTGAGACCCAGTTTTATATTACTCACCCAAAGCTTCAGTGATTTAAAATGTTGTTCAGTCATTAGTTGCTTTGTTCCAAAGCTACAAAATGACAGTTTATAAAGGGAATTTGATGATTGAAATAGTTGTACTAAAAACTAAGGAACCGAGAGTTCAGATTCTGGATTTTGAAATCCGGGGGCTGAAATAAATGTAATGTTGAGATGTTTGGGGATGGATAGGAAGGTGCTTAGAAGGGAATGACTGCTAACAAGCCCCTTCTTCTTTTCTTTCCTTTCAGCTGCTTGTGGTGGACTCCTCACCAAACTTAATGGCACCATAACCACCCCTGGCTGGCCTAAAGAGTACCCTCCGAATAAAAACTGTGTGTGGCAAGTGGTTGCACCAACCCAGTATAGAATTTCTGTGAAGTTTGAGTTTTTTGAATTGGAAGGCAATGAAGTAAGTGAACAATAAATGCAGTTTTTATGGTGTTTTGGAAATCTTTGATGACAAAACTAGAAATCTTCAAAAGAGAAAGAAAGAAAGGAGAGAAGGAAGGAAGCAAAAGGGAGAAAAGAATGTAATACATTAGTATAGATGTTTTCTTTGTTCTACTGCTCATTTCTGCAACTGCTTGATTCTTTTTGGCATTGGATAATATTTGACTATTTCTGGGAGATTTAAAACTACTTACATAGAGTTCTTAATGTATTTAATATACACTATTTGACATGATTTGCTAAAGAATTATAGAGTATTTAGGGTTAGTTTCCTTGTCTCATATACTTTCTCAGAAAAAAATAAACCAAAATCCACTGGTACAATCATAACAAAAATACCCATTTAGGAGAACATGGTATATCTTATTCGTAGAAATAGGCATACTCTTGTTATGTGTGTAGGTTTTCATTGTGAATTATGCTCAAGATTCATAAATAAATATTAACTTTAACTTAAGTAAAAGATGCACTTAGCTGAAGCTAGCTTGACAAAATTCAGCTTGCTATACTGAAGATTCAGTTTTCTGTCAGGGCAGCATATTATAACAAGTGAATCCACTTGTGTGAAAAACACCTATGTGCCAGTACACACATGCCAAATTCAAATGGAATGTCAAACCCAGAAATGACACTTTTTAGAAAAATGTCATTTGTGTGATTGTTCCCCACTGGTTTCATCCCAGGTAAAAAGTTATGACCATTTGTTTTCTTTGATCACTCATACTCTCTTTTTAATGAATTCTTTCTTCTACCTTCCATTTCTGAGTTTACTTTAAAATGAATATTGTTTAATACTTCCAAACATGAGAAAATTAAATCATAAAACCTCATTTTGCCTTTGATGCATATCTGTTGAAACTTGTGAAGCATAACAGAACTGTACCAAATATTGGAAATATTTGTAAATTTTATACATAATTTTGCTCTTGTGTATCTATTTTTTCCTCTTCTTTTTTTAACCTGGTACTTTTCCTTATTTCTTTTAAATTTTTTGTCCTCTGAATTCCACCTATAGCAACAAAGTTACTTTTGTACATTTAAAAAATCTCTTTTAGCAGGGCTTTGGGGTAAAAGAAATTGCTGACTTTCATGTTTCTTTAAAGGAAATTAAAAGTCTGAAAAGTGATGAACTTATGTATTTTAGAGACTCAGTGATCCTTTTGAGATTCTTTTCTTTCCTTTTTCTTTTTGTTGGTACTGAGGTTTGAACTCAGGGTCTCAAACTTTGGAGGCAAGTGCTTTACTACTTGAACTATGCTCCCAGCCCTTGAGATTATTTTAGCATCATGTATATACCTCAAATTTGGTAAAATGTGGAAATGAAGAAAACAATTTTTGCAGTATTTTTAGAAAAGCTTTTATATGAGCTATACTTATTGAAAATGATATTTCTCTACCAATTCTGAGACATTTTGGTTAATCAATTGATAAATGTTTCTAGGAAGAGTAGAGGTCTGTATTCAGGAAGAAGGAAGATGGATGTTTTTTAAAATGAGGTTTTTAAAAATGAAGTGTATTCTGAAAGCATTATTGTCATAGTAACTATCAGCATTCATAGAGGGTCCCCTGTAAACTTAGTTAACATATCCAGAGTTCTTTATTTTATAATGGTGTTACTGAATAGAAAGCCGTTACAGAATTCTGTGTATTTTCATAGCTTGATAGCTTATTTGTTGGTAATAAAAGGCCTGACAAACTCAACTTATAGAATATTAGATTAAATTTGAACCCTCAATATTTTGTTCACTGTGTTGACATCTCAAAGGAAAGCCAAAGGCAAAGACCTTTAGCATAGAAACATTCTCCTGTGCCAAACAGGACAAAACAAACAGTGACAAAAATCACAGTTGTGACATAGTAGGTAGAAAAGTAACTTCATTTTCTAAGTAGCATTTTGCTTGCTTATCACCTTACTAATACCCTAGAAACTAGTAATTTGTGTTGACATATTTCAAAGTACAGATCATGCCCCAGGCTTCAGTCACATCCATTGTTAAACCTTGCTAATTACACATTAATGTAATGAGGTCAGTCATGCAAAATGTGTTCTTTACAGTGTGCCCTATTAGAACTTTGGAAAAGTGTCCTAGAGAAACATCTGTCAGTGGCCATAACATTGTATGGCAATTCACTTAGCTCCTTCTTCCATTTTGGTGGTGTAAGTGTGTTACATATACATCAAATGAATCTACTTCGTTTTGTTATAAATTCCTGCCTCTATTCTACTGAAAAAAATTCTAATTTGTAATCCTGCGGTCATCCAACAGATTAATTTCACAGTACCTAACACCAGAAAGAAATTAAGAAATACAGTGTTTTAATAATTTTGAGGGGCAAAACACTTAAAAAATATATAGACCAAATACATGTCTTTCACTTTCAGAGTTACTCATGGTGCTTCTTTTTTATCAGAAAGTAATTTTATGTGGCACATTCCTGGAATAAACCACCTCTATGCCTTTAGACACCACAGTGTCATATATCATAAGTGTTATTTTGGAAGGCATAAAAAATTTGAACTTCAGCTTTCTCATTTTTACAATGGAAGGAATTATTTCTATTGCTTGTGCCGTTTCATAGTCTAAATGTAGTTACTATCTAGACAGTCATGACAAGTACTTTCACAGTTTCTTCTGAAATGCAAAAGCAATTTTAAAAGAAATAAATAAAAAGGTAGTAACCACTAGTTTTCCTCTGCCTATCAGCACCATTTCTAAACACTCAGCTCAGTTCACCTTTTTATGTTCTTTAGAAAAGATACATGCTACTAATACATACCAATAAGCATTTATTTGCATGCACCAATCCAGTAGACTTTCACAGCAAAATTCTTCTGTAATCAATCTTTCATGCCTTCTGCCCTGTAGGTGAACCCTTCTTTATCTTTGTCTTAACCTGTTAATTCTAGTTTGACTTCCATGGTAGTACAGAGGTGAAAGCATAAACATTTTTCAAAAGTAAGTGTCAGTCATCTGGTACTCTTCAATCTGGTGACCATGATAACCATGTTTTGTTTTTGTTTTTTTTTTTTTAGGTTTGTAAATATGATTATGTAGAGATCTGGAGTGGTCTTTCCTCTGAGTCTAAGTTGCATGGCACTTTCTGTGGTGCTGAAGTGCCTGAAGTGATCACTTCCCAGTTCAACAATATGAGGATTGAATTCAAATCTGATAACACTGTGTCCAAGAAGGGTTTCAAAGCACATTTCTTCTCAGGTATAACTATTCACAGTTTTTTTGTGTATGTCACTGAATTTCAATGTGGGCTGATTTTAAGTGTTTATTATTTTTTCTTTACAGCTTTTTCTCTAAATATAACTTGTAGGTACATAGACATGGCTGTTTATCCCAGGCTTAAGAGGTTATTTTTACTTAATGTTAATCTTAACATTTATACTAGAAACCTTGAAGAAATGTTTCCTCCAAATAATTAGATCTTATATAAAATGTAATATTTTCAAGACTGATGAAATAGCAGAAAATGATTATTATATGTTTTCGTATAATGACTACTCATTATAACTGGATGGAAATAATTATATCAGACTTCCAAAAACTGCCAGATTTTTATGATTTTTCTTGTTTTAGAAAATTAATTTCATTTTAGCAACACATTTTTCCTTATTATTTTGTAACATAGTTCTTCTTTTATTAGGCTAATGTCAACATTATATTTTGCCTTGTCTGTAGAAATGATTGCACTAAAAAAAAACTAGAGATATGGAAATTATAATGTGATTAAAATAATATATCAGATATACTTAATATTTTGCAAATTTATGTTTGAAAGGTAACATTTAACTCATTCAAAGTAAATTCTACCTTAAAAAGCTAAAATTTGATAAACACATCCTAAATTTTACAAACCATGTAGAAATATGAATGAAATTGCCTTATTTTCTCAATCTTAGAATCATTCTTTATAAAACATTCTGAAACTTTGAAAACTAGATAAAATTATAATAAACCTTAGCATAGCAACTGTTTCTGTCTTTGCAGCCAGCAAGCAACTTAAAGCAACTGAATTCCAATTATGTTTTAATATTAGGTAATTTGGATTGAGTTAATTCAAAGTCCATTTATTTCAGTACCCCTGTGTTTAAAATTAATGAGATTTACAATGTCCAGTATTTGTCTGAGGCTTTCAGTTAATTGAAGTTAATGGTTCACAAGCTCCTTTGAGTTCCAAATCAGACACAAGCATGCTCTCAAAACACAGTGGACCTGGGCTGCCTTGTTCCTGTTCCCTGCCTTTCTCCCAGATTTAATTACCTTCTAAAAATTCTTCTTAGGTATTCATTTAAGATTTATGCTATTCAAAATAGAATTTCAATACCCTATTCTAATAAGACTTTCCTAGACTTAACTATTTTTATGAATTTTACATATTTAAAAATTTTTAAGTGATCCAACAGATAGAGACAGCATAACCTACATTAGAACCATCTTAATATTTATTTAAAACTTAAAATTATGAATTGAATAAATTTTGTCAGAATATTAAAAGTGTTCAGGATCCTTTCTTATGGTATCTTAGTTATATACTTTATTTAAAAATTCTTAAAAAACAAATACAACAAATACTAACTTTAAAATATGATTAAATTTAAAAAGTCAGAAAATTTGAGATTCACTCTGTAATTTTTGGTCAAGCAAACTTCCTGAATTATAATCATGCTTTACACTTTACTTATTTGGTCATTGCAATCATAATATTGAAATATAAATACAAATATTGATTCTTTAATTCTTATAACACAGATGTAAGGGCACATGTAGAAGATACTGTTCTCCAGCCCAGATGGATATATAGTCTTTATTCTTTTCTCTGTGTAGCAGTACTTTGTAAAATTAGCTCAATCCCGTGGTAGCATAACAGCTAACTTTCTATAAATAGCATTCATAGATACAATCCTCTTAAGAAATAATCTTTTTTTTAGAATTTATATCAGTGTTCTTTAAAAATATATATACAAATAAATTACATGATAATCTTTCATTTTGAAAGAGTCTGGCTTAGGTTGTTAAACGGAGTGTAATAGTCAAATTACACTGAACAATGACAATTGGGGGCATTTAACCCTCTGTCTTATTGAATTGTTGTAGTCATTTCTATCTATTTATCTGAAAGATAAGTCAGCTGAGGAGTTAAGCTCTCTGTCCAGAGTCACAAAGCATTTATCCTTGGTTTGCTTTGGTCACAGACCATTCTCTGAATCTAAGAGCAGACTATACCCTTTGTGAATGATATTAGTAATGCGTTAAGTCAATATCTTCAGGACCTGAGAAACAACTGGATACAGTTTTTATTTATTAATTAGATTATTGTTTTGTAAAGTCTAAGATCATTATCACTGAGTATGAGCTTTCAGTGTTCCCTTTTGGATGCACTGAAAATTCTTGGCAGTTTGTAAGATTCATATTTAAAATATTGTGGTTCTGGATGAGTAACTACATCTATTGCACGTTTCATTTCCTGGGAATTTCTGTTAATGGAGAACATGGCTGCTCCAGAAAAGGGAAGATAAAGAAATTGTATTTGTAATAAATCATTATTAAGGTGCTATTAAAAGATGGTAGGAAATAGATTTAGGTGACTGAATGGCCTACTATGATCATAGAAAAATCATAATTTATAAAAGGTTACCCATTTTAATAGATAAGTTTATCCACATTGAAGATATTATTTTGGAGTTCTAATAATGCTTTAAGTGTAATATATAATCATGTGTTGAAAATCAAGCAATTTGCTATGCGCTTATTAGAATATAAATATGTAAGCTGTAGATATGCTGTGTTTCACAGCCACATTGAGGTGTCATTATTTGGGTCTTTGTTAAAAGCACAACACTGAGTTTACATAAAAATTAAGCATAGAAATCAAGAGTCATTAAAATGAGTATTCTGTTTGTCTTAGAAAGCCCATTCTTGGAAATGCTCCATAAAGAAATACCTTGAAATCAGGGAGGTTTTCAATATCATATGAGGGTGACAGAAATTTGGAGTAAACAGTGACAATAGGAACCTTGTTTTTTTTTTTTCTTTTTAGCCACTCAAAAATTTATTTATTTTTTTATTTACTCTTTTATTTTTATTTATCTATTCATTTTGGTGCTGGAGATCAAACCCAGTGCCTCGCAATACTAGGGAAGCTCTTTATCACCAAGTCACACCCTTTAGCCCCTGGTTTATTCTAAATAAGACGCTTGGCTCTATTCTTTGGCTCTATTCTTTGTCGTGGTCACAAACACCATCCTGTGCATTGGTCCATTTGTCACATGATGTTAGAAAGGACTCGTAATGCTATGCAGCATAGCTTATTGATGCTATATGCTAAAGAGGATTGGCTGGAGCTCTGCTTACCATAGTCACTCTGGGACTCAGGCTGATAGAGATTCTGCCATCTTTCCACTAGATCTTATTTTTTAAATTAATTGATTAATTAACTTTTTGTTGTTCATTTATTCACATGTGCATACATTGTTTGGGTCATTTCTCCACCCTGCCCCACTCCCCCTCTTACTATTGCTTTTGTGTACCCATGTGTTACGACCCATGTTGATTCAACACTAACTGATCTTTACATTCGTTCCTGATCCCCTGCTCATGATAACCTGTTGTTTTAAGGTTTCTGTATTAGTTCCTCTGGAGTGGGGACATCAAACACTTTCATGTTTTGGGTTTTCTACCTATTCCTATATCTCCTGTATGTGCTTTCCCTTTGTCATGTGATCCAAATCCAACCACATTGCTGCATTTTATTTATCTTTCTATATTACTGTGGTGGTGGGGATGGAACTCAGGGCTTCATGCATGCTAGGCAAGCACTCTATCACTGAGCTACACCCTCAACCCAACAAATCTTTTTAAATAATCAGAGCATTTGGTTAGTAATGCTTTTTCCACATAGCACAGAATTATTTTCATAGGTTTATTTATGACTTCAAGTTTTCAGGCTTCTTTTATTTTCTTGTTTCCATCTTCTAAATTGACCTTCTGGTTTTCATACTTCAAAATCCAGCTCAAACCTTTCTATTTAGCATCAAAAGTATCTGTAAATCTTTCTAAATTCTTTATTTTAACATTTATGTTATGCTACTTGGTTCTTTCTGTGTTTCTACTGTGCAAAAATAGGAACTTCTTAAAAGAGAGAGTCATATCTTTATTTTTTAATATTCATTTTAATTCCCCATGACAGGAGAGGTTCAGTGAAGTTTCCCTGGATGAATACATAAATGAATAATCATTTTGCTTTAAGTATTTGTCTTGATTATCTATTTAGTTATGAGCTAATGTAAAAAGATTCATGTCCTTCTCTCTTTCTTATTTCCCTCTTCTTTCTTTTTTCTTCTCATTTCCTTTTTTCCTTAACTCAGTGGGATCCATAATAAAGGTTTGTTTTATGAAGTCCAGCTTAGGCTATTTAATCACAGCTCTCAAACGCATCTCTGATAGGATGGAGAGTGGAGTGATAGATGAGCTAGAGGAGCTGTGATCTTTTCAGAGGAACATGGCTCTATCTCTAGGTAACTTGCATAGATCCTCGGATGCCCAATTTTTAAGGCATTTTTTAATTTTGAAATTATCTTCACTATCTGGGAAAAACAACTTTAGAAATCTTTAATTTTTTATGAGCTGCACTTCACAGAGCAATAAACGTTCACATTTAGAGCAGATTGCTGTATGATGGCGAAGGTAAGATAGAATGGCTTCTCATTTAGACACATTCTTCCAAATATTTCCTCTTAAAAAAAGATGATAAAATCCTTGATCAGTTGAAGCAATATGCCTTACTTTCCTGACAAATTTAAAATATTGAAAATTTTTATTTTAGCCAGGCCCAGTGGATCATGCCTGTCATCCCAGCTTCTTTGGCAGTGTAGCAATCAGAAAGATCTTGGCTCAAGGCCAGGCCAGGCAAAAAGTTCTTGAGACCTCATTTCAACCAATAAGTGGGCTATGGTAGTGCCCAGATCTGTCATCCCAACTACATGGGAGGTAAATAGAAGTAGCAGAGTCTGGGTGGCTGGGATAAATAGGTGAGATCCTATCTGGAAAAATTATTAAAGCCAAAAGGTCTGGGGAAGTGTCTAAAGCACCTGCCAAACAAGTAGGAGGCCCAAAGTTCAAATCTCAGTGCCACCAAAAAGTATATTTTATTTAAAACATTTTACTGAGTTTTAGATTAAGAAGTCAACCCATAAAATGCAACAGAA